CACAGGTGGCGCATCGGCCAGTCATCTCCGTCAGTAGACCCGTGGTATCTGGGTCTGCCCCGTGACCTCTTGCCGGCGGGCGTTCAACACTTCACGTGGCCTCAACGTGCACATAGCCTGGCACAAGCGCGGTGGTGACGTCACCGCCACTTAGTGGAGGTTGTTGTGGGGGCATATGTGTGTGTGTATGTATACCTGTATGTGGGGGAAATGTGAACCGTCCTGGGACTCCCCTAAGGTGACTCGGCCATAAATGATTATCTGGTGCGGTGTGTAAACAACAACATTCGGGAGACAAAGGCGGTCTGGCGTGGTGTTGGCCAGCCACCCCCTTGTGTGCCGTGCCGACCTTAATAGGTTCTCATGAACAGCACTTGCCCCAACAGTCTGTTCAGGCTATATGGGGGACATTTGTCATTATTCCTGTGAATGTGTGCCCGAGTTGTGTGTGCGTGCGTGGTTTTCACGTGGTACAGAAGGATGTGGAGCTGATTGGTCTTACCTGATGGCTAGTAAGTACCAGCCGTGTCAAGATCGGCCTCTGTGGAGGAGGCTTGTGAGAGGGATGCTACTGGGCAGTTGGAGGCCGTGGCTTTCAAACAACAGCGGAGGGTAAGAGGAGCGACGCTCACAACAATGAGCGGTGCGCCGGGTGGAAAAAATGAATCAAGTTGGCATAGTTGAAAGCACGTGGTGCATCTGCCAATCATCTCGGGAAGTCAACCCATGTCACCTGGGTCCGTCCCGCGTTCTCCTGCTTGCGAGCTTTCGACACTGCACATGACCTCAATGTACACCTAGTCTGGCACAAGCGCTTTGGTGACGTCAACACCACTCAGGGGCGAACGGCTGTTGGTGTTATGTTTGTCTCGGTGTGTATATATGTGCCTGTATGTGCCCTGTGTGAGTGTATGCCTCTGAATGCTCTTGCCTATGTTTGGATGTATAAGCCAGTGTGCGTGAATTGCCCCGTGTGCACATGTGTGTGTACCAAGGTGTATGCATATGTGCGTATGTGTTCAAACGTATGCTCCTGGATATACCTGTGGGCGAGTGTGTGCGCGTCTGTGTGCGTTTGGAATGGTATGTGGTAACCAAGGGTGTGTTGGTGAGTGAGAGTTACAGTGGAATGATCTGTACGTGTAAATGAGACATACAGGTGAGAAAGCTGTACAGGTGAGTGTTGTCTGTACATGTGAGCAGGGCCTGAATGTGAGTGACCTGTACAGGTAAGACGGCTGTACAAGTGAGCAGCTTCTGAACATGTACACTGAACTGTACAGGTAATTAGTTGTACAGGAGATACGTTTATCTTGTGAGCGTTACAGGAGATGCGTCTGTACATGTGAGTGACCAATACAGACTATAGCATCTGTACAGGAGTTAAGTCTGTACAGATGAGTGAGATATACACGTGAGAGCAAACACGTCGCGTTTATTTAACCAGGTGTGAACTCAAGAGACAAGGTGAGACTCATTTGCAAGAGTGGTGTGGGTAGCTGTACAGGAGATAGGTCTCTACATGTCGAAAATCTGACAGATGAGCAGGGTCAGCTCAAGTGAGCGGGGCCAGTTCAGGTGAGCGGGGTGGGTGCAGGTGAGCGAGGTCAAGACAGGTGAGAGGGGTGGGTGCAGGTGAGAGGGGTGGGTGCAGGTGAGAGGGGTGGGTGCAGGTGAGAGGGGTGGGTGCAGGTGAGCGCGGTGGGTACAGGTGAGCGCGGTGGGTACAGGTGAGAGGGGTCAGTGTAGGTGAGCGATGTCAGTACAGGTGAGGAGTGGGTGCAGGTGGGCGCGGTGGGTACAGATGAGCAGGGTCAGTACAGATGAGCAGGGTCAGTACAGGTGAGCGGGGTCAGTGCAGGTGAGTGGGGTGGGTGCAGGTGAGCGCGGTGGGTGCAGGTGAGCGGGGTCGGTGAAGGTGAGTGGGGTGGGTTCAGGTGAGCGGGTTGGTAGGGGGGGTCCTGACAGCCGTCCACTGTAAAAAAAGATGCCGACTGTGATCCCTTACTGTACGTTATATAAACAAATAAAGATGGTGACCGAGATACAAAGTGTGGAGGGAGCGGCTGTGTTGGGGGGGGGGGGACAACCGCGACATGTAGTCAGGTACACTCAAGTCACGCAGACACACACATACCCGCACATACGAAGACACAGTTGCAAATTCACACAGACACACACACACCGGCACATACGAAGACACAGTTGCAAATTCACACAGACACACACACACCGGCACATACGAAGGCGCAGTTGCAAATTCACACAGACACACACACACCGGCACATACGAAGACACAGTTGCAAATTCACACAGACACACACACACCGGCACATACGAAGACACAGTTGCAAATTCACACAGACACACACACACCGGCACATACGAAGGCGCAGTTGCAAATTCACACAGACACACACACATAGAGACAAAGATCCCCCGTATAGCCTGTGAACAGACTATTGGGGTAAGCCCTGTTAGCGAGCACCTATGAAGGCCGGCACGGCGCACGAGGGAGCGGGGGTGGCCAGCAGCACCACGCCCGGCCGCCTTTGTCTCCCTAAAGTGGCGATGTTTACACCTCCTGGCCAGGATACCCATTTGGGGCTGAGTCGACCTAGGGCAGGGCCCTGGACCGATTTGGATAATCGAACTCCGGTGGACGGAGTTTTAGCGCAGCGCGCTCACCACGACACTACCGCACCCTAAAGACACACACACACATAAAGACTATACAACAGACTGTTGGGCCATGCTGTTGTCAGCGAGCACCTATGAAGGCCAGCATAGCGCACGAGGGAGTGGGTGGCCAGCACCACACACAAAGCTAAACTCACACACACACAACACACAGGTTCAGGCCACACCACTGTCTGTCTGTGACTCGCTCGCTCTCTGCAGTCGGCTGTGAATTGACCGCCACTGCTACGTGAACCCCTTCCCCTCCATCATCCCACCCGAGCCCTTCACTCTGCAGCAGCAGCAGCAGCAGCAGCCTGAGCTGATGATGATGATGATGGAAAACTCAAACCGCTGCTCAATGACACCGCAAACAGCGCTTACCTGCCCGGAGCAAATACCATTCGCACACACCCAGACCACTATTACACGCACACACACATACACACACACACACACCTAGACCACTAGTACCTATATATATACACACACACACCTAGACCACTAGTACCTATATATACACCTAAACCACTATTACACACACACATACACACACACCCCTAGACCACTTACACACGCATATACACGCCTGTACAGGCTTTTATTTATATATGCACAGACCCATGCCACTCCAGTATTACCTCTACACACCTATATACACATATATACCACCATTCCCTACACACCTATGCCACTTACCTATATACACGTGTGTGTACATACATACATACAGCCCTATACCATCATTACCTATACACACATAACCATGGCATACGTGGGTCATTATACAAAAACCGGTAAGCGTTTTCATAATCGATTACCGTTGTTAATAATCGATTGCCGTCTTCATAATGTATTTCCGCTTTCATAACCGACTATCGTTTTCATAATCGATTAACGATTTTATAACCGATTACCCTTTTAATAATCGATTACCGTTTTCAAAATAATTTGTTTTTGCCCTCGTTTATCAGTGACAATGGTGCAGGCTGCAGTGTCGCAAATCGCCCGGCTCACGCCACTGTTACAACTTGCCGAGCCGGGAGATGGAAGCAAGTCCTGTACTCTAACCATTACACCACGAAGCAAACCGGTAACCGGTTTTTTAAACGGTTTTTTTCCCCCCATGCGATTTTAACAAAACCAAAGGTCCCCCGTATAGCCTGTAACAAGACTGTCGGGGCAAGTGCTTTTGTCTCCCCGATGTTTACGCACCGTACCAGGAAACTAATTTGAGGCCGAGTCGACCTAGGCACGCACACACTTAATATTGCCAAAGATGTCCCTATAGCTTCTATATACTTTTGGGGCAAGTGCTGTTAGCGAACATCTATTTTGGTGGACGCGGCTGATGATAGGGAGGGTGGTGTGTGGACGCCCGGCCGCCTTTGTCTTCCCAATGCTGATATTCTACATACCGGTTCATATAACTGATGACTATAATCGGCACTGATTGGAACGGTGCCCGGTACTCGAACGCACACACCACGTATTAAACTCACAATACCTATAGGCAGTGTCTATATATAGGTCGATGTATACACACGCATACCACACACACAACATACACACACTCATAAACTAAGCACACACAATACTGTGAAGGCTATACAGGGTTCACACAATACACACACACACGCACGCATGTTACGCGACACACAGTCCACAAACATACTATGCACACAGGCAATCACGTACACCTCACCCAACCCACACACGCATTCCACACACTCAGACACCCCTACACAACACAACACTCCACACACATTGCACGCACACTCACAACACACACACACACCACACACACCCTATCCGTACATTACATACGCACAGACACACGAAACACCACACACAAAGACAAAGATCCCCCGTGTAGCTTTAACAGACTGTTGGGGCAAGTGCTGTCAACGAGCACCTACGAAAGCCGGAACGGCACACGAGGAGGTGGCTGGCTAGCACCACGCCCGACCGCCTTTGTCTCCCCAGTGGCGATGTTTACTACACACCGCACTGGGTACTCATTCGAGGCCGAGTCGACCTAGGGGATGCCCAGGATCGGTTCAAATAATCCTCAGTGGTGTTGGCCGTGAGAGGGAATTGAACTCGGGTGGCCGGGTTCACAGCGCGCTAACCGCTACACTACCGCTCCCCACTACAACACACACAGACACACACACTACACGCATACTACTTCGCAATTTACTCGGTACACGTACCCACACTACAAACACTACACCCCATGCGCGTACTCGTAACAAACACACGCACACGACACACACACAACACACTCCCCCACACACAGCAAACATATCTTACTCACCGGGTGTAGGAGTAGTGAGGTAGGGGAGCTTGCCTTCACTTCCCGCTCACGACGCTCGAATTGACCACCGCTTAATTGGTAACCATCCAGGGACGCTCACGCAGTTTCGGTGTAGGGTGGGGGGGGGGACTGGTTTGAGAATTTGTGGAGTTGTGGTCTGGTTGTTTTAGGGTAGTTGGGGAGGGGGTAATCGTGAGACACTCTGACAAAACGCCTTACACATGAAACCCACGACTTTCAGATTCCCTTCCAACTCGTCTTGGGCTCTCACCTCTCTCTCTCTCGCTCTCATCATCACCGCACCCGATCCGCCCATGCCCAAGCCCATCCCACTCCGCCACCGCCGCTCAACAACCATCCCGCCTCCCGTGGTGGTGCGCTGCGTGGGGAGCGGTGGTGTAGTGGCTAGCGCGCTGCGCTGTGAACCCGGCCACCCGAGTTCGATTCCCTCTCACGGCCAATACCACTGAGGATTATTTGAACCGATCCTGGGCATCCCCTAAGTCGACTCGGCATCAAATGAGTACCTAGTGCGGTGTTTAAACATCGCCACGAGGGAGACGAAGGCGGCCGGGCACGGTGTTGGCCACCCACCCGCTCGTGTGCCGTGCCGGCCTTTATAGGTGCTCGCCGACGGCACTTGCCCCAACAGTCTGTTACAGGCTATGCAGGGGATCTTTGTGCGTCGTGAGAGTTATGCGCTGTAGGAACCTACTCCGATTTTTGTGACCCCGGGGTTGTGGAGGAATTAGTGCGAGAACACCGCCCACAGCAGTGATTGAAATCATCAAAATGTGTAAATGACGAGAGAATCCCCATCATCATCATTATAACAGAAAGTTAGTGCAGGCCTGAAAACCACGAGTTTCAAAACGACGTGTGAGCCACGTGTGAAAAAAGTCACTCGGCAACCTTTGTGCATTATGCAACAACAAACGTCTGCAGTTCATTAATAATTCAAATGTGGTCATCTTGTCGTAGGTCACCATCAATATAAACCAAGGCCAATGCGACCGACAAAGCCAACCGTGCTGATGAGTCTTGGCAAAGGACGAAACTGGTCTACATTTTGTCTCCCTCTCGCCGTTGCCATCATTTGATCGTGACCCAGGACGCGAGGACCGAACTGCAAATCCTTCAGGAGCTGCGAATTGTTTTTTGCATATTGCACAAAGTCCGCTGGATCGTTTTAGTACGTCACAAGTCATACGTCACAAGTCATACAATGCCTTGCCAACGGAGGGGCATGATTGTTGGGCCTTCTCTGGGCTACTCCGGTTTCTCTCCCACACGGAATACAAAACACCCGTTATTAACATGGGAATCGATGCCAATTATCCCGCACGGAATGTAGCAGGACCCTCCTCTAAAGACCTTGAGACTCAGAGGCCTGAGTGGATAAATGGCATAAACAACAGGAAAGTAATTATGTTATAATTAAACCACTGAACAATAAAAAAAATCATCCAGCCCTTGTTCAATCGACTTGATCCTGGGTGTTGTTTGACCAAACTTCACGATTGTCAGTGTGGGTTGGTGAAGGGGAGGGAGGCCCAGGACCGATTCCCGCAAATATTCCTCGCCACTGATGTTAGCCGTGACCCCGAACCGAAGCCAGGTCACTGGGTTTATAGCGCAGTGCACTAATCACTCCACCCCGATAATCATAACACCCATTGCCATATTTGGTATATTTGGTAAACATGGCGTTAGAGTATTATATATACAGTATTTTACGAATGCTGCTGCCAGTTATTCACCTGATTATCCTGAATTCAATGAACATATTCACGTATGTATTTTGTGTATTCAGGAATAAACAAATACACTTTTCCCATTTACCAAAACGACTACCACATTTTTCTCTTCTTGGTTCTTTCGGTAAAGTCACGTAGAAGGGAAGTAATAAAATAATAAAAATAAAACATAATAAAACAATTCTCACGACGTTTCGGCCACAACGCAAGCAGCCGTCCTCAGGTGAAAACCAGGTCTGTCGAGGCGACAGCGTCTGAATGAAACAGCACACGTGCTTGGAGCATATATGGAAAGTTGTGCCCCCGTTATTGGACAGGAGGGAACCAGCGGAAATGTTCCATCAGTTCATTAAATTGGTCACACGTGCCCTCTGACGTTCGTATGGATCGACTGCTTGCATTAACTGCTTCTTTTAATACAGTATATTTTACACGCGGAGGCCATTGTAGACCCATTGCTGGATGAGTGCCTTCCTCCGCCTCTGCAACCGTGCGGGTTTGTCAAAGTTATTTGACCATACTTCACCGCGCTGGTCAGTGCGCGTTGCCGTGAAGGCGTTGCGAGCGCAGACGTGGGAGCACGGAAAGCACAGCGTAGCTTTGGGTTGTGCTGCACTGCTCTCTGCTGTCCACCACGAAGCACCGCAGCCACCATCACCTGCCACGCAGGCTGGGGGGGGTCACCTATTCACAAGCACGAACCAGGTCCAAAAGCCCCGCTTCACTTCCGAGAACTGGCGCATTCCAGGTGAGTTTGTCAGAGGGCACATGCCATTATTCATCCAGGTGTAATAAAGGACTCGACCACTGTGTCTGTCTCCGTGTCCTTTATTCGGGTTCGTATACTTTTCCCACACGGCTCTCTTACAGAGACTCTCCGATTGGCAGCCCGAGGCTGCCGTCGCTCCCGTAGCCTCTCTCTGTTCCGTAGCAGTCCCGCTGCTGATCTCCTCGTGCAGCCCCCCCGGCTGCCCTCGCTGCAGCCTCACCGCTGCTCCCCGCTTCTCCGGGGTCGGTCACCGCTGGCCGACGGTGCCGAGCCTTACTCCGTGTGTGTGGCCACGAAAAGCTGACATCCCGGGCAGCGGCCAAATGTCTGGATGCCCAGTTTAACCTGCGCCGGTGGAAGCAAGTCACGGCGTGGACGGGGGGGCCCATCGTCGAAGGAGGTGCCGTGGGTTGGGATCCCAAAAAGGCGGTGTACGTGCCTGATGGGGGGGGGGGGGGGGGGGGCCCGCAGGAGCTGATAGCCGCCTCTGGTCCGTGGTCGGGCCGCAGTGGGCCGGGCCCGCGCCTCACCGGGTCACGAGAGCCTTGTTTTAGGAGGGCCCCGTTACATCGGGATGTTTGGCAAATGCCATTGAACTATTTACAAACTGTTAACTATTATTTTTTTACTTTACCAGGGAAGGAGCAATGCGCTATATATAGCTATTCTCAAAAGCGACCGGGCCACATATGATAGCTCAGCCAAGTGGCTTATGTGGACATTTATAGCAGCCAAATACTCGAAATGCGTGTTTCTATTATGCAGTGCGAAAAACCAGAGGACCCAGAGAAAAATCCACGTGACCACGTGGAGAGATGTCTGTCTCCGTGTGTCTGTGTTTGTGTTTCGTCTCTCTCAAGTGTATTTCTACCTGATGACGACTGCTTGTGTTGCAATAGAAACGTCGTATTCTATTATTTAATTTATTTTCTTTCTACGTGACTTCACCGAAAGAACCAGAGAGTAATTCATGCAGTCACGAAAGCTTCAAATCAAGTTTATACAGCATGCGTCAAGATCGGGTTCCAACTCACGACTTCCTGTATACTAGGCGAGGTAGTTAACGCTTGTTTAAAGTCGCCACGCTGGCGAGACGTTATCTTGTGGTAGAAAACCGGAGAACCTGGAGAAAACCCACCCATACACACGAGGCAGGAACACTCAAAAGATCTACAGGATGGATTCCAGAATCCATCCCCGTACCCGCCATCTGCTGGCCACCTTGCAGATCCAAAGGACCGCTCCTCGCACTCAAGCTCCGACACGGACGCATACATCTCAGCCGTTTATAATTTTTGCGAGACAACCAAAAGCAGCCAAGGCACACAACAGCAAGCATCTGCAGCTCCTGTTAACGCGATGGGGAACACATCCAACGTGGGGGGGGGGGGGGGGGGCCATTACAAACTGAACGTCATAAAATAAAACATAAAAAAATTGCGACGGGCTTACTTCGGGTATCATCCACTCGGCACCACAGCATCAAGTCCGATCACTCAACAGCGAACGCCACAAGGATAAACGTACGTTAATTTTCTGTGAAAAGAACCCACTTGTGCAATTCCACCACTGCGGTGGGTAGCTGTGATTTATGGGACGGCTTTGGAATGATACGAAACGTTCAGCACATTTGGGTGCGGGTTTCCTTTGACTCGAAGGTCACAACAAACTACATTTTCTTTCAGTCTATGACGGAATCTACAAAAACAGGTTCACTACTAAATCACCTCCCTGCAGGTGATCGTTTAGAGCTAACCGTGCTCTGTACGTTTCAGTGCGCATGGGAGAAGGAGTGGCTGCGATTGTTGAAACCGCTCAATGAAGGCACTTGGATCGTTCAACAGAACGTGACGGCCGTACGGCTTCAATGTTACAAAATCAGGACTGACGACAGTTTGCAGCACGAGAGACATTACTTTTAAATCATACAACCGAAGTGGTGAAAACGAGGAAATATCAGATTCCTGAATCGAATTGCTGGGACCCAGAATTGTGTCAACGTGAAATCGCAACAGGGGGTTGCATGGATTCAAACGGTAACTTTATTGTCGCGATTAAATCGCGCCGAATTCTCGCGTGCGCATGAGCGATCGGTTACTTACATCTTGCGCAAATTCTCTTGCAAACGACTTGCAAATTGCATGGAGTGAACGAGAGTCTACGAGATGGAAATCATTTGAAACAATGCAAGTGCGTTGTCAAAAGCGGGACCAAAGATAAATCACGTTTCATCGAATCGCATCAGACAATTCGGATGGCGACGGACGGATTCATTAATAAATATAGTGTCTTGATAAACACATGGAATCTCGTGTACGGGAATTATTTATAATGTACACAAGAAAGGTACACTCCCAAAAATACGCTAATTTTATATCTCAGCTACTGGAGTGAACGAAAGTGTACACACGAGAAGATGCAAACTAAATTGAGAAACAATACATAGGCGGCAAAAAAAACTATTCTTAAGTCGAATCCTGATTGCGGATTTAGACAATCCACAGAATCACTTGCGAGGAGTGAGAGAATGAATCGCGACATGCCCAACGAGATACGCAAGTGGTAAAACACACACACGGAGCAGCAAAAACATTCCGTATAATTCCATATTTTTTCCCTGCGCAGGGGGCTTTGTGTGGACTTTCCGAGGCCTGCGCCGCTGTCCGCTGCGTCTCTTGGAGATGGCCACCAGGCGCGGTCGCACAGGTCGCCAGTCCGCTTGTGGGTCAGCCGAGGTCGAGATCGGGGGCTGGCGCCACGCTCCGGACTGCCACCCCACCGTTGAGATCCGTGCGGGGTTTTTTTTTTTTGACAAGTCAGTTGCCCGCCGAGCCACACCGAGCGGCAGAGGAGGGGACGGTGACGAACGTAATGAGGGGGGGGGGGGGGGAACTCGGAGCTCCTGCGAAGGTTTTCCATTCGGTTTTCGCCTGGAGTGGCGTGGCGCTCACCCACAAATTGAACGTGCGCCTGGAAACCTGAAAAGAATTAAAGTCCCATGCTGGGCAGCAGACTATGTACTCACGCATGCCTGCGCGTGTGTGTGTGTGTACGCATAAGCCTCAAGTGTCATGGAGTGGAGCCGCGGTAATGTGCTACAAACCCAGTGACCCAAGTTCACTTCCTCGCTCATGGGTAACATCAGCGACGCGTGGTATCTGAACCTGTCATGGACATCCCCTCCCCATTAGGTACCTGGTGCTGTGTAAACGGGAGCACTGCGGAGAAAAAAAAGTCGGCTGGAGAACGGTGCCGGCCACACCGTGTTAGCCTTAAATGGTTGCTCGCTATACAACATTTTCTGCCGCAGCCCGAAAATAAAACACGTCACCTTTGTTTTTGTGAGGAGCAATTGAAGTGTGCGCGTGCGTGCATCTCCGCCCGCAGGCCGACGATGCCACAGCCGCCATCCCTGCCCCTCCATCCCTCTCACAGCGCCGTCTGGAAGCTGGTGCCGTTGTCGGTGACGGTGACCCCCGCCGGTATCACGCGCACCTCCCGCGCCGTCGCACCACGCGCCGCATCCTCGTGTGGCGACGAGGGCAGTGACGACGGCGATGACGGCGATGATGGCGATGACGGCGCGCACCGCCGCTTTGCGGACCGCGCGTCGTCGAGCCTCGCGTATTTTTTATTGGCGTCATTGTCGCTGCCGACGTCGTCCATCTCCGTGTCATTGTCGTCGTCGTCCTCTTCGTCGCTGGACGAGGGCAGCGAGAGGTCGTGGCCGTAGGTGCGGAACGCGCTCACGACCCGCAGCTGTGGGGGGGGGGGGGGGGGGGGAGAAACGCGCGCGTCGCTTTCGTAAAGCGACCGGATCGATTGTAGGCACGTGGGCGTCGAGACACCAACCCGCGTTGGAGGGTGCGCGAATGATCACGGTTAAAACTGCGGCGCATGTCAGGGACGGGTGTGACTCGGTCAAAAACGTCAAAGTGCGGCCCCTGCAATTACTCGCTCTCGCACCACTTGAACCGGACCGCACGAGGACCTTACCGATCGACTCGCCGTGGTGAACACATTTACACAGCTGGGGGTAAAGATTGGCAGGGGGAGTGGGAGGACTTGATTAAACGTGCTTCATTGTTTCAACTACTGCGCCACCAGGAGTAGAGACATTGCACCGGTGACCTTTGGATCGCAGCTTTCAAGAGTGACCCCCCCCCCCATCATCCTCATTGTTGGCTGTAGCTCGCCGACGAGTTCAAAGTAATAATTCGGCACTCTCACCGTTACCACTGCCTCTTAATAAAAAAAAAATAATTTCTCAACGGGCTGATGTATTCTAGATTGGGAAAACTAATTTCATTAAAACTGCTTTTTTGTGTTTAGTTTGTTGTCCTTCCCCCCCGCACTTCCAATTAGCACGTTTGGCTATGGATGGTGTGCAAGAAATTCAACATACATCCAAAAAACGCGGGTTACACACGCGGGACGCAGTGCATGCACCTGCAGTATAGAGGACACGCCGCCTTGTTACAAAAGAACCTCGCCAACCCCAGAGCCACTTGAGCATCTCAGAGCCAGTGCTCCGACTTATTTTCACTGTTGTCATCCTTTTCCCACTTAGTTTTATGTTTTATTCCGATTGTGCTCTCTAGGCGTCATGAAGACTCCAAGCGGATCTCTCGCACAGCAGTTGCAGCCTTCCGTGTTCGGAGAACGTCCCCGCGGAATCGGATATCACAGAGCTGCCTCGGAGATCCATTCTTCGACAAATCGGAGGTGCGGGGAAGGAAAAACTAAACATGAAAGGCAGTTCTAAAGAAATGAGTTTTCAGCCTAGATTTAAAAGTGCATAGCTCCAGTGGCTTCCGAATATTGGAAGGAAGAGCGTTCGAGATGGCTGCAGAAGCGCATCTGAAAGCGCGTGATGCATTGATCGTCTTTGTTCAATGGACTAGTCAAAAGCCGCTGCTGCGAGGATGGCTGGAGTTCACATGATGGTTAATGCTCTTTGACGAGATCAGCACTCATTCCACACAAAGTGGCGAGCACTTTGTGTGGAATGAGTGCGACCTCAAAAAGTATTTGTTCGCCAACCAGAAGCCAATGCAGCTCGGCGAGCACTGCACGGACACGGTCGGATCTTGCAGCATCCGTCACGACACCGCGTTGCCGGGAGGGGAGGGGCACAGGTAAAGACAGAGCGTGGTGGGGAGGGGGGAGTGCTGGGGAGGGGTGGAGTGCGGGTCAGCGTCGTCACCTGCGTCTGAATGCGGTTGAAGCCGCGGATCCAGAGCAGCTGTGCCGCGCGCAGCTCAGACGCGTGTCCAGCGCCGTCGTACCCCTCCGACGACTCGGAGCTCTCGTCCCCGGCGTCGGACTCCTCCAACTCGGAGTCATCGAGCGGCCCGAGCTCACCGCGCTTCTCGTCCCCACCGGCGATGCGCTTCTTGCGGCTGAAGCGGTTTATGTTGAAGCTCGCGATCAGCTGTTGGCGACGAGCACGCGCAGGCGAGAAATACACTCATGGGTCACCGTCTGTGAGTCTGCATGTATGTACGTAGAACTTTTCGCACCGTACGTAGCCAAACGTGCTCATCGAGGGTGTGGGGAAGGATAACATAAAGTCGATGGGAGTTAATGGTTTTCTGTGCAAATCTATGGGTGTCTGTGCAAGTTTCGGGTCTTCAGGCAAGTCCGTGGGTCTCTGCGTTAGTAACTACATGAAATACATTTGTGCGAGCCTAAGGGTCTGTTCTCTCCGCGAGAGGCCCAGAAGCCGTTCATATCGCCACTCGCTACTAATGTTAGCCATCGCCAAAAACGCAAATTCCGCGTCAAATATCATCAGGGCAGTGCGCCAACCACTCCACCACCGCTTAAATCAACGCGACAAACAAAAATGTTGACCTAGCGGAGTTGAGTTTTTGGTACTTCTGTTTGCATAATTGTGGACATGGGGTCCCCTGCGGCGGGCGTTACGCTCGCTATCGAACGTGGCCGCGTACCTGTCCTGGGGGCAGCACTCGCACGTGCTTCATCTGCCCCCACGACAGCCCTGGGGGCGGCACTCGCACGTGCTTCACCTGCCCCCACGACAGCCCTGGGGGCGGCACTCGCACGTGCTTCACCTGCCCCCACGACAGCCCTGGGGGCGGCACTCGCACGTGCTTCACCTGCCCCCACGACAGCCCTGGGGACGGCACTCGCACGTGCTTCACCTGCCCCCACGACAGCCCTGGGGGCGGCACTCGCACGCATCTCACCTGCCCCCACGACAGCCCTGGGGGCGGCACTCGCGCGCATCTCACCTGCCCCCACGACAGCCCTAGGTGTAGCACTCGCACGTGCTTCACCTGCCCCCACGACAGCCCTGGGGGCGGCACTCGCACGTGCTTCACCTGCCCCCACGACAGCCCTAGGTGTAGCACTCGCGCGTGCTTCACCTGCCCCCACGACAGCCCTGGGGGCGGCACTCGCACGTGCTTCACCTGCCCCCACGACAGCCCTGGGGGCGGCACTCACACGTGCTTCACCTGCCCCCACGAAAGCCCTGGGGGCGGCACTCGCGCGCACCTCACCTGCCCCCACAGCAGCTCGCCGAGCCCCAGGAAGACGCACCACAGCCACTGCTCGATGGTGAGCGGAGTGCAGCTGAACGGCTGACCTCCGAAATGCACGATAATCACCTGCCACGCGCGCACACCGGCACAACAACAACAAAGACAAGAGAACCGCCTCTGTGTAGCCTGTAAAATGAGACTGTTGGGGCAAGCGCTGCGAGTGAGGCACGTATTTAAGGCCGGCACAGCACAGCACATGAGGGAAGTGGGTGGCCAGCACCACACCTGGCCGCCTTTGTCTACCCAGTGGTGATGTTAAGCCACTTCATCGAGTGATCATTTGTGGCCAGGTAGCTTATGAAAAAGAAGCCAATAGCTCAGCGGGCTTTACCTTGTAAAATAAAAAGAGTTTAGTTTTATGTGTATATATTTTTTTGATCACCTTTTCTATATGTTACACTGCTATAGTTTTTTGTATTGTTTTATGTTGTAACGTTCCGACCCCATGTCCCTACTGGAAATCTGTAAAGGAGATTTACAGCTCATTGGATTCCTTCAGTACAGATATTGATTTTGTTTACAGACCACAGCTGCAACAGGTATTCATGTAAGACAAATTCGACCGAGGGGAGGCCCGTAACCCATTCAGATATGCATCACCGACGTTGGCCGCGACCTGGAATCAAAGCTCGGGTCACTGGATTTGTAGCGCAGTGCACTAACCGCTCCTCACGCATAGACAGACAAAGATCCCCCGTGTAGCCCACACAGGATGTAGGGTCAAGTGCTGTTAACGAGTAGCACCTATGAAGGCCGGCACTGCACACGAGGGGGTGGGTGACCAGCACAACACCCAAATTAGACAGAATCAGAATCTTTATCTATACCAGAGGAATCCTATGAGCTATGAAGCTTTTTTTAACAGAAGTCCAAGTAGGGGCAGGTCAGGAAGCTACAACAACAAAACAAAAATCGATAGGAGTGCAAAGTATAGGAAAGGTGAGCAAGTCACTAAAAAGAAACAAATAAAAATAGTTAAAGTGTATAACAAAAAATTGCCAAAGTCTATCAATTCCTGCAAATTTTTTCAACAATAAATGCAAGCTTGGGCAAGGCAGCAAAACAACAACAAGTCGCTGACCACAGCAAGACAGCGCACATTACAACTGAACTATCGATTCACGGGTAAGGATCAAAGTTACAAATCACATTAGCAAATGTGATTGTATCCAGCACCAATCTTCTGTTTCAGGATATTTTTTGATGGAAGCTTTAGGTTCCACAAGTAGTGACTAATCCCATATTTGCGTTTGCATTTTCCATAAGTATGCTAAATTTCTCTGTTGATATGCAAATTCCTTTGTCAAGGCACCCTTCCTCCCCTAACCCAGCTTAAATATACTCTGCCAAGCTTGGTGGTGTTCATTCAGACGCTGTCTTTCTGACAGACCTGTTCTTCACCTGAGGACGGTTGCTTGCGTTGTGGCTGAAACGTCGTGAGAATTATTTTATTAAGTTTTATTTTTATTATTTTACTATTTCCCTTCTACGTGACTTTACCGAAAGAACCAAGAAGATGAATCCCTGCAGTCACGAAAGCTTTAAATCGAAATTTAAGCTTTAGGTTGTTCCAAAACGTTGCTGCTGCAACGGCAAAGGCTTTGTCACCCATTCCAATTCTTGTTCTTGGGGCACTCAAGAGGCAATTAGATGGACGTCTTAGGTTGGACAATGGAGTTAACGAATTCGCCAAGTATAGCGCGGATTTGTCAATAAGGATTTGATGGATGAACAGGGCCGAATGTAGATTTTGTCTTGCATGAAGTGATGCGAGTTTGAAGTTTAAGTCGAGGTCACAATGGTGGGTCCTGTATAGCAGGGGTCCCCCAACCCCCGTGCCGCGGACCGGTACCGATCCGTGGCCTGTTAGGAACCGGGCCGCACAGCAGGAAGCGAGCGGTGAGTCCGCGCGTGGCCCGCCCCCATTATTTTATTTACCACTTCCGTCCGCACCTCTTTCCCGCACTGCGAACTTGTCTCAGTCACAGTTTTGGTAAGCCCACAAGCTGCTAATCCCAAGCCAAAATGAGTACAAAACAAACGTCGCTGGAGAGCTTCTTTGAAAAGGGGGGAAGACCCAATTATGAACCGCCCCCCCCCCGGTCCGTGAAAAAATTGTCTTCCACGAAACCAGTCCCTGGTGCCAAAAAGGTTGGGGACCGTTGCTGTATAGTACATCCAGTGCAAATTTGAAGAGCAGAATGATAAAGTGGGTTTAGTCTGTGTGGGGTTTCATTAGTAGCTGATCCGCAAGCAGCATCACAGTCGTCAAACAGTGCTAGAATGATAGCTTCAACAATTTTCAGGCACGATCAAAACGGGAAAAGAACGTTCGTTTCTGTATAAAAACCCTACGTTTGATTTTCTTTGAGATGTAAATCAATGCACGGACACGGTAATAACCATCTACTTTTTCAGCCCTTTGCTCAATCGCATCGTATTTCCCCCCCCAGGCACTTAAAACAACCAATTCAGGAAACACGTGAACTCGAATCTATTACAGCCATGGCAGTGCCGTTTGTTGCTGACAACTTGATGTTCTGGGATATTGGGCCTGTGCTTAAATTATTATTTTGTATGCATAGTGTCCATATAAGTCTATGGATCTCGATGTAAGTTAATGGACTTATTTGCGAGTCACCTTTGACTGGGCTGAGACCATCAACACTCTCAATACACCTAATAAACCCAATTTAATCAGAGGCCACGGAATCTAATTTAAACCCAGCCCCTTGCCAATACTGGCTCAGTTCCCGTACTCTGTACAAGTCATTGATTCCCCACGTGAGTCTACGGTTCCCCACGCGGGTATAATGGTTCTTTCGGTGGTACCCGCTCTGGGGCCCACCTCTGTTTTTGGTGCCTTGAGGAAGAGCACTGCATTGGAAACGCGATATAAAAACCACGATTTAGGATGATGACCTATTGGGGTGGGGGTGGGGGGGTCAGATCAAACTGGGCAGCCGCAGACTACAGCGATGGACGGGCCAGTGACGAGGCGAGCGAAAGCGATGTTGCACCTGCGTGGCGGCGGTGCCGACGACGATGACGATGAAGGCGGGGTTGCGGTGGATCCCCGCGAACACGTTCCTCTCGCCGTGCACCTTGCGCGCGTTGATCTCGTTGAAGATCTGCATCATGACGAACGCGTTGAACAAGATGGTGTAGTGCTGCGTGGGCGCCGAGTGCAGGAGCGCGCTGCGACCGCTGTCGATGTCGAACAGGAGCTCGCCTGCAGAGGGACAGGCGGGACAAAACGGACGGACAGTTAAAACGACAACTGGGTTCAACAGACAGAGAACCGATTGGACAGATGGGAGGGACAGACACGAGATCGACAGACACATGTTAAACAAATACTCTTTTGTCTTTTTACTCCGAGAGTCATATTTGGTGTCGTGCTAGGAGCCGAGCAATCCATTGTCATCTCTTGCAGCTCTGTGATATCCACAGAGCTGAGTCCGAGAGCCCTTTGAAAAGTGACTCTGGTCCACACAATAGGGGGCAGCGCGTGTCAACCCACCATGCTACACCAAGTAAAAAAAAACCACGCTGCATTAAACATTTGGCTGCATTAAATTTACACATTATGATGAGCCACTTCGTAGGGCTATTATTTGTGGGCAGGTCGCGTCTGAAAAAGAAGCTAAACGTTCAGTGGGCTTTACCTGGTTCGATAAAAAAAAGCTTAGTTTCATTTGTATATTTATTTTAAGTTATTTTCTCAACTTTCCTATACTTTGCACCTTTATCATGTTTTGTATTGTTCGTTGTTGTAATGTTCTGACCAACCCTTCAGGAAATCTTTGAAAAAGAGCATTATAGCTCATCGGATTCCTCAAGTAGAAGTAAATATTGCGATTCTGAGGTCACAGCCCCTGCTCATGAGAATTACAAATACCCACGTGATCATCGCGTGCTCTATGAACCGCACGGAGCTGCGGCTGATAAAACTGGAGCTGTGCGGCGTTGACACCGGACAGACGCGGACGCAAAAAAAAGGGGGAGTCAGCGCTGGCGCCCACACCGGCAAAGAGGATGGTGAAGGTGACGACAAGCTGGTAGATGGCGTGGCCCAGGATGAACTTGGCCATGGTGCGCGACACCAGCGGGCGGTCGCGCCCGTATGGCCGGCGCTGCAGCAGCGCCGGGGTGGGTGGCTCCGTGGCGAGCGCCAGTGACGCAAACGAGTCCATGATGAGGTTCACCCAGAGCATCTGCACGGCCTTGAGCGGGGAGTCCTGCACGCATTGACCCACCCGGCGACACGCTGGAGCCAAGGATGATGATGTCTTTCTCGATTTCCATGCCACGGGCTCTCCTACCTCCCCCCAACCTCTCAACTGACTACTCCCCTCCACGCACTCTCCTACCTTTCCCTTCTCAGCTCATTCTGCTCCGCTTTGTGTACCCTCCAACCTCTCATCTCTCCACTCTGTTGTATACTAACCCTTCTTCCATAATTGAGATTAATAATATTTGATGATTTTTATATATTATCTTTTTACTTGTTTTTTTAATGAGTGAAACACACCAAAGCGCACCAAACTGCAAAACACCAGGTGTTGTTAAGTAATGAACAAGAGGAGGGCTAGGATGACAGAATTTGCAACCTTGCTTCAAGGCAAAGGCAGTGAAAGGAAGCAGAGGCGCCTTTGTCTAAGTCACAACCACAGAAAGCCAGGAATCATCACTGATTGTGTGTTTAGGGATTCCGAGCTAATTAGAACACGTGCACACAGAAAGGGAGGTAGAAGCACGCCTTGTTCTCCTGCAGCTGAGGAAACAAAGATAAACCCAAAGAGGCCTTGGACCTGAAATTAAGAATAACATTCCCAGAGCAGAAGGTTGGAGGGACAGGGGAGAGCTGATTTAAAAAAAGTGTTGTATATCTCTCAAGGCGGGCAGACCCAGCTAAATAACACGGCTGCGGGGGTCACCAGAAGTTCGCGTTCGCCTAGTTAAGACAAAAAGCTCAATTATTCTGTATTGCTATTAAAGTAACGTTAAAGTCGGAATTTAACAACAGGGTAGGCTAAAGTTTGATATTCACACCCACTCCAATTAAACCAGGTCACAAGTACGCCTACTGAACCATCACCATCATTAAGTCAATATGAAATGTTATTTCCATACTTTGATGCTTTCTATACAACTCGACCCGAAGCATATGCATGAAAAGACAAAAGTAAAACTTATGAAAAGCCAGGATAACGGGATGAATCACCACCAGGTCGAATATAAATACATAATAAAAAAACGATGTTAAACCCAGGGTCGGAGAGAAAGGGAGATCCCGGCCGTCTTTGTATCCCCGCAGCGCGGGATGGGAGTGTGTGTACGCTCGGGGAGACGCCTCCACTTGGGTCGGGCACCACGATGGGAAACGACAGACCTTGGGTTACATGCGGAATCATGGCTGTGAAATAGTAAGGGACAAATGTTAACTTAAAACTTTTGGCCATTTCTTTGTGCGCCGGGTCGGAGAGAGCGTTGCCCCTCCCTCCAGGTGGTGCGAACAAAGACGCCTATGAGACATTTGTGACGTCTGTGTTTTGGGTTCGTGGGGAAGGCCAGACAGGAGATAATGTTGCGCCCAGACAGAGAGACGACCTCGAGGCAATTTGTAACATCTGATTGTTTGCTCGTGGGTTTTATGGAGGGAGTGTGACAACGAATATACCGTCAGTGATGCACACAAGGACACACGGACGTACGGACACACACATGGACACACCTGCCTACGGACAGATCCTGACACAAAAAAAATTCGAAAGAAGTCCCGCCTTGTGGGCGGGATCCAGGGGGATTTTTCGGCATAAAGTAAAGGATCCTGAGCATTGGAAATCAGTGCGACGGGAGGGTCGACTCAGGAACGAGTGCGACCAGAGTGGGTCCACTCAGGAGTGCGACCAGTGGGTCCACTCAGGAGTGCGACCAGAGAGTCGACTCAGGAGCGAGGGCGACCAGCGGGTCGACCCAGGAGCGAGCTCGACCGGGAGGGTCGACTCCGGAGCGAGCTGCGACCAGCGGGTCGGCTCGACTCATCTTCAGCTCGTCAACCTCTGCCGAATCGGGGGTCTCTGCTGCCACCGGAGTGGTGAGCATCGCGGATCGGCGACAACCCAGAGCTGCACGCTACGAGCGAGTTGTGGGCGCCACCTACCGACCGGGTTCCGAACTGCGACAGCGTATCAACAGCCATCCGAACCAATTCGCCACGGGATCGACTGATACGTATGACGCGCACCGCCCCCTCACCACACGACCACCAGGCGTCTGTTTGACCTAAAGAATCGACTCCGAACACTGACTATTCAAGACAACTCTTACCACTCAAAAACACTCGAACCCATAAGCCATCCGTGGCTGGAAAGCATCACAACGAGACCGAGTGATGGCCCTCCGTCTCTTATAAGAGTATTCTTAATTTTTACCTTTAATATTTAGTGGGCTGTACTCTTAATCGCATAAATTCCCAACAGATCCATCAATACGAACTGATTCTTGGCACCTCCTTCCGCCGAGCCACGCTCACGTGGGGAGTGGTGGCCCACCGGATCCTTATCAGGTGATCTGGTCCCCAATTAGTAAACTTGGTATAAGATAACGAGCTTCGGAAAAGGAGCACCGTCGCAGGCCCTTACTCCGGGCCGTTCTGTTGTCAGATAACCTGCCGATGTATCTGTTGAGATTGGTGCCTTTAAGAATAATAACTGTTTTTGATTGTGTTTTATCGCCGTATAATCTTTCAAGTATCTTTCAGTCATAATCGCCGCACGTACTCGCATCCTCTACAGAATATTCAACTGTCCCGTGACCCAAGGTGTTAACAACGTGATAAGGGTTGCGTATGGTCAATAAGGAGTGTGGTACTGCATGAACAATATTGAGTATAATCATTCATTAGCGTTAAGGTTTTCTTAGCATAGTATTTGCATATTTCAACGACTCTCTCCCTCACTAACAACCATCGCGTTATGAACAATATTGAGTATAATCATTCATTAACATTAAGGTTTTCTTAGCATAGTATTTGCATATTTCAACGACTCTCTCTCTCACTAACAACCATCGCGTTATGAACAAGATTGAGTATAATCATTCATTAACATTAAGGTTTTCTTAGCATAGTATTTGCGTGTTTTAACGACTCTCTCTCTCACTAACAACCATCGCGTTATGCGGGATCCATGTGCAGTTGTCAAAGTGAAATCAGACAATCGTTGATGATACTGTATTGATGCCGTGTTGACGTTCCGGGATTGAGAGTTCGCATATTATATCATAGTTAAGGTTGAATTAGTAATAAATTGATTAATACAGAAGTGGTTGTGTGATTCTTTCCTGAAATCTATGCATAAGATCTGCTTCTGCGTTGAGATTTGAACTTGGTGACCTTAATAAACACACTAATACATACTCAGTAAATGTTAAAACGATAACGGGGTGAACCGGGGACCTAAAAATATAACCACGAATAAACACCCTGGGAATGTTAAAGCGAGAATGAGACAACCTAGACAACGATGCCGAGTTAATCTAAGTTAATCTTGCATACTTACACCACACCTGCATAACTGCATACGATTAATTGCCTTATTCCGATCGATAACCCACCCTCGTCACCGAGGCGGGGTCTGGTTATCATAACGACTTGCATTATCATAATTACACCCACTCGCATAATTAATACGATTACCTCTCGAATTGGCATAATTAAAATGTGCGTAATTACATAAATCAACATATTTCCGGATAATTACACATTTGGCCAAATTTCATTTAATTATTATTATTTCCACTGAATATTCATAACCCACATATACAACATAATAATTTCACCCACGCACGCATACAACATAACAAATTTTCATACCCAACATATACAACAACTCCCCTCCACGTACTCTCTGCTCCAGTAACCAAGGCTTTGCTGCGGCATCCTCAGGCTAGCTTCACTCAGTGGAAGGTCGCTCTTTCTCTTCTACTGCTCCCTCCCACCTGCCATTCGTGCTGTAAACTCCCTGCCAATGTTCAAAATCAGGATCAATACCGTCATTTGTCCTCTGTCTCTATTGAATAGAGGTAGGTCACAAACAGCCAATGAATTCAGATAGTCACATTTCATCATCATCAGCAAGGATGATCCACTGCTGGATGAATGAGTCCCCAATCCATCGTTGTTCTCTCACGGTCCTGTGATATTGGGCAATCCACGTCACTAGAGTGGAGATGTAGCAGTGAACTCTGCTTGTGTGGAGGTCACATTAAAAACGAAACAAACCCACATTGTCCATTTACCCTTGGGACACCACCCATGCCGGGTGCGTTAGCTCACCGTGAACACACGGAACGTCATCGGTGTCATGTGGGCGAGGACATTGTGTCTCACGTGATGAGACAAAAGCGGTGCACGGTGGGGGGGGGGGGGGGGGGGGGGGGGGGGGCACGGCAGGGGGGCCGGGGAGAAACCTGCGTGATGCAGGCGCCCGTGAAAGCCACAATGACAGCCGACACGTTGACCGTGAGCTGGAACTGCAGGAACTTGGCAATGCTGTCGTAGACGTTGCGCCCCCACATCACCGCCTTCACGATGGAGCTGAAGTTGTCGTCCGTCAGGATGATGTCCGACGCCTCCTTGGCCACGTCGGTGCCCGCGAGGCCCTGGGTGCACACACGAGGACGAAGACAAAGATCCCCCGTGTAGCCTTAACAGGCATGTTAGGGCAAGTGCGATAAGCGAGCACCTACGATGCCCGGAACGGTACACGAGGGGGTGGGTGGCTGGCACCACACGTGACCACCTTCGTCTCCCCAGTGCCAATGATTTTACACACTGCACTACGGTACTCCTTTGAGGCCGAGTAGACCTAGGGGAGGCCCAGGAGCGGTTCAGATAATCGTCACTGGTGCTGAACGAGAGTGCCACACATGGCCCGAGGGGCGACACACTACCCTGGCTGCCCCTCTGGGGCTCATTGTTGTCATTTTAATTCTGGGTGCCGGGTCCCAGTTGCCCCGTTCCATGCTGTGGTGTGGCTATGCTCTCCCTCGTCGCTCGCAGTGTTTCTCTCCGCTCGATTCCCCCCAACCACCCGCCTCCCGCCTCCCGCATCCTGCCACCCCCAACCCGCTCCCCGCTTTCACCATCACGCCGTTTTACGTCTGCGAAGTGTCGAGGCATGGCTGTGTCGAGACGCGATAGAGAAATGGCAAAAACACCATGGCAAAGCCGATGTCGGCCTTCTTGAGTGCCGGCCCGTCATTGGTGCCATCCCCGGTCACGGCCACCACCTGCCTCCGGTCTGCCGCTGTGCTCTCGATTATTCCTGCACGTCGCACGCGAAGCAAAAAAAGGTAAAGATCATGACGCTTAAATTGCATCACAGGTATCCCTCTGTTGACCGTTGAGGCAAGTGCTGATAAAGGAGCACCTATGAAGGCCGGAGCGGTGCACAAGAGGGTATTTTGTGTTTACACACTGCACCGGGTGCTCATTTGAAGCCTAAGTCAGCCTAGACGAAGCCCAGGACCGCTAAAGATATCATTCACCACTGATGCGAGCTGCGGCTGGGAATCGAACTCTGGTCGTTGGGTTTTTGCTGCGCATTGCACTCACTAGTGCCACCGCTACACCCCAGCTCAGCTAATCGTATACGGATTCATTGACCAAGTTTACAGATTTCCAAACTGAAATTGTTTCTCTTTTAACGGTTCACCTACTCCCCTGCCAGCCCTGCCCACTGCCCGTATCACAAGTCAAGTTATAAGGACAGACCATTTTAAACCAGTGACAAATCCAGGGTTACAACAGTTTTGGGACACCCAGTAGAGTCGTTGCCGAAACCAGGACGGACATTCGGCAGCTTTAAAACGCGAGGAGAGCTGCGACGTGTTGCGAGTTTTGCGACGGGTCCAGGAGTGCGTGGCGTGCGCGACCTTTGACCAGGGTGTACTTGTCGGTGGGCGAGGATCTTGCGAGCACCCGCAGCTTGGGCCACACCTTGTCGAACCGCTCCTGATCCACCTGCCAGGGCATCAGGCGTGAGACGGGAGGGTGGGTGGTACAACTCGCTCACCTCACTGCCCCATTAAAATGGGAAATGTACGACTACCCAGGGTGCCAGTTAGCCAATGAGCTAAGGATGCTTGTCGATACCACCTGGGTGGAAAATGCGACGAGGAATCCACCATAGACAGAATCATTACTACATACATATCTGCTTCATGGACACTCGTCCTATTTATTTTCACCTTGAGTATGTCTCCTGTCAAATTTGTGTTCTTCCCAAAACTAAATTTTGTACCGAACATGGTGGCCTTATTTAACAACATTTTCTCACACAAAAGCTACCGCGATGAGCTTGCTACTAGACGTATTTCGAAGGTATACTGGATAAAACGCTTCTACAAAAAAAAAAATCGGTAGCATGATTCGCCACCGTGCAGGTGGTAATGACAAGCCACTTTTGAGTCTGTGGCTCAAGGATCCAAGTTGTGACCCGAGGCGAGCCCCAGGTTTATTGGGGGGGGGGGGGGGGGGGGGGGCGTGCACACACCTTGCCACTCTCATCGCAAATCCTCTCGTTGAACTCCTTGCCTTCGAGGCACAGGAAGTCATTACCAGGCACCAGGATGCCGCACTTTGTGGCGATGGCACGCGCCGTGCTGATGTTGTCGCCCGTTACCATGCGCACCGAGATGCCCGCCCGCTGGCACTGGGCAATCGCTCGTGGAACCTGCGGCGAGAACCCAGTTGTCATTAAATGTCAGGCCGACGGTTACAGCCACATGCTCAACATTGACCCAACGTTGCAGGTTTACTGGGGAGATGGATTACCCTGGGAACGTACGCACGCACAAGCGTGGCACACCATCGCGACTTTACGCGGTATAGTTTAAGTGATAGAATTTTATAACGTCAAGATTCCAAAGATCACAATGTGGCGATTATCGTAATATCAATTACAATAACTGACAATTTCAACTTGTAACGCGGCGGGAGCACCACACGGTATTTCGTTCCTCGCTCTCAAAGAGAAAAAAACAACTCAGGAGGTGCCAAGAGAAGGAATCAGATGAGTCAGGAAAGGCTGCAACCATGTGTCGAGCCGACACCAATTCCTCACACCTCCTCCCCAAGTTCTGCAATCCATGATGTAAGGTGTTATTGTGCCAGTTAGTGAATGTTAACTCGCTAATCATATTTTTTACAATTTTCTTGAATAGATTTTTGTGCTTAGCTGAACTTCCAGTACGAATAAATATTACACCAACGGTTATTCAACAGTTCACTCTAGAGGCCGACCGAAACTGAATTTCTGGTTTCGGCCGAAACCGAAATCAGAACGAAAGTAAAAAATTTACTTTCAGCTGAAACCGAAAGGAGGCCATTTGCCAACTTTCGGCGCAGAAACCGAAATCGAATTTCAGCCGGCCTCTAGTTCACTCAACATTAGCTCGCCTTAAGTGTCCTAATCATTGCTACTGTATAACCTACAGTAGCTGTTGGGCCAAGTACTATGATTGCTGAGCACCTATTATCCTCACCCACAAACTAAGGGACTGTGACATTACCACAATGCTCGTTCCAGGCTAGATGCTCTTTGAGGAAACGTATTGAGCCAAAGGCTCGACTGGCAGGAGGTCACAGAACAGGCCCAAGGTGCCATGGGGTGACCGACTGCTGAGATGGCCAGCAGATACACCACCTGTGCTCCCCACTGCACCAACTCGCTGCATCTCAGCCACTCAGCGTTGTCGTGAGCATTGCTCCTCCGCCCTTCGTTGTCACTGGCGCGCGCAACTGCCTCCAACTGCCCAGGAGCGACCTTCACGAGCCTCCTCCACCGAGGTCGACGTTGACACTGCCAGGACCGGTCACACCCCCCACACCCTCACCTCGGGCCTCACGGGGTCCTCGATACCGACGACGGCGATGCACACGAGCTGCGCCACGACGCTCTCCTCCTCGTCCCACGGGGGCTCCTCACCGGGGGGGAACGAGCGGCTCGCGACGCAGATGGTGCGCAGGCCCTCGCGCGCCATCGGCTCTATCACCGCGCGCACCGCCGCCTGGCGCTCCGTCGCCGGGAATGGCACGGGTCTGCCGGTGGCGTCCAGCACCTGGGAGCACCTGCACGGTGGGGGACGATGGTGGGTGCATGGCGGTGGGGACGAGGGCGGGTGGGGAGACACCTACGATGTCACATTCAGGTGGTCGAGGCAGATAACTGCGGCGGGAGTAGCCGAAGTGGCATCGCCGCGAGGTCTCCTTTGTATTTGTGGATTGGGCATTGCGTCGTTGTAAGGTCTCTGTTCTGGGTGACCGTAGTTGCACACTGGAGAGTTTTTAACTTTTCCATTTGTGCATCAGGTATCTGCATCTGCCATGGTTTGTGCGGATGCAGTTGAGGGTCGACCCCAGCAATATGGGTACACTACCAGTTTGTCGATTGGCAAACCTGCATGTGGTGGTGGGATAAAGTGTGAGTAACTACCACCCCAGCAGTACGGCGTGAATTAAGTTCAACATATACATAGGTCGGTCCACAGGTCACACGTGGTGGCATAAAGCAGGGTTCTGACCAACACAAGAAGAGTTGGCCAAAATGAACCTCTCCAGAATGTAAGCAAGCAATTGCGGGGCTTCACTTTTACCTTTGAATATGCAGTATTACTTCAAGAAACGGACGGCACATCCCGAAGGCGAGAGAGGGACCCTGAATGTGGGATAGCTCTGCGGATGGACGCGCGAGGCAACGAGGCGGAAACAAAGACGAGGACAGAGACACAAAAGAGGGCAAGGGCAGCGGTCGTCCGAGGCAGGAGGGGTGGCTGCAGCCAGGGCACAAAGTGGAGAATGAGAAGCGGACACGAGGAGGAATTAGAATCGGGAGAGGCCCAGGACAACCGCTGCTCCGCACACCTCTGCAGCAGGATCTCGGAGGCGCCCTTGCTGTAGAGGCGGAATCCGCCCCCCGGCGCGCGCACTACGGTGCTCATGGACTTGCGCGTCGAGTTGAAGGTGTACACCTTGTGGAGCCCCTCCTCGGGAGTGACGTCACGCACCGCCTGGTAGTCGCCCCCCAGCGCCTCCACCAGGCCCAGCAGCGCGCACTCCGTCTTGTTACCCACCTGGCGGGGCAGCCCACCCTCCCGCTCGGGGGGCTTGGGGGGTGGGGGGGGGGGGTCGGAGACGATGAGCTTGGAGATGGACCCACGAGGCATGCGACGAGTACAGGCACAAATGAAAATGCACGCATGCACAGACACGTGGATTCATGCACGCACGGACACGTAGATGCATGCACGCACGGACACGTGGATTCATGCATGCACGCACGCAGATGGCACATGCGTACAAATACGTATGCGTGCGCAAAAAAAGCACACAAACAAAAGACTCGCGCGCGCACACACACACGTGCTCAGACACACAAATTACAAAGACCCCCACCCCGTATAGCCTGAACAGATTTTTTTTGGGTAAATGTTTAACCGTTAGTGAGCACCTATGAAGGCTGGCATGGAACACAAGTGGGTGGGTGGCCAGCACCACGCCAGACCACCTTTGTTTCCCCAATGGTGATGTTTACACACTATTCTATTCTTGCGCACGCCAATATATTCAGGAGCTAAAAGCCAATATCGAGGTATATTGGCTACAACGAGAGGGCTTCAGCATGGAGGGAGATTATCTAGTTTAGCCATTGCTCTGTTGAAGGTACACACCAGGTACTCTTTTTATTTTAAAAGGTCGATATTAAGAGGCCCCAGAACTGCTTTAGGTAATCATCACTGGTGATGGTTGCCGTGAGTGGAAACCCAACTTGAGTCGCCGGATTCGTAGTGCAGTGCGCTACCACCTCTCCCACATACATACATGTGTAATGGGTTCTGGAGACTCTTGTAGAGGGCACGTCTTTATTCCACACACCACGTACTTATACACACACCGACTACTTATACACACTGACTACATCTACCACTTATCCCCAGCCGATCTTCTTAGCGTGCCTAGCCTCGTCTCGGTTCCCAGGTCCTCCGGCCACGGTTACCCTAGGGGATGCTATCTGACCCGACCCAGCCAAGGTGTGGGTCCAGACCACTGGCTTCCTCGGACCTTGCCCTTACAAGGGCGTCGGGCCGGGAGTCCCAGAGTCTCACCACTGGCCCGCACAGTACCCTGGCCCTTACAAGGACAGTGGGGCGAGGGGGTCCAGGGTCCTAAGCTGGCTGGTCTTCTGGCTTCTGTCTGCGACTGGCCCCGAGCTTCTTGGGAGATCCCCCTTTATGCCACTTGCCCATCGAGGGGCGGGGCTGCGTGGGATCGTGGAACCCCCGCAGCCCCTCCCCGCTTTTGGGCTGGGCAATGCAGCCCCTCCCCTGGCGGTACGAGGTACCGTCGTAGATGGGCCCTGTCCACCATTGCAGGTAAGTGCGGCTCATCTACAGTCGCTACACATGCATTCCCACCTCGCATACAGACGCAGCAAAGACACATGCACGCACCAGGATCTTGCTGGTGTAGGCAGAGTTGATGGTCATGGCGTTGCACAGCTCCACGAGCATCGCCGGTGGCAGGATGGGGGGTTCCTGGCCCCCATCGAGCTTGTGATGCTTCCCTCCCACGTACACCTGAACCCACCAACACAGAGCGAGAGATCACCCGAGCGGCCTACACGAACGAGCTTCCGGGGCAAGTGCTGTTAGCGAGCACCTATTACGTAGGGAATGGCACGAAGCATGGCCAGCGCCGATGTGATTCTGGGGCGAGCCTCGTACACACAACACTCGTGCGGTTCATAGCCGGCGGCGAGCGGTTCACCTGCACCACAGTCATGCGGTTGGTGGTGAGGGTGCCCGTCTTGTCGGAGCAGATGGCCGTGGCATTGCCCATCGTCTCGCACGCGTCCAGGTGCCGCACCAGATTGTTGTCCTTCATCATTTTCTGCAGACAGAGGCATTCGCTTCAACAACACCACCACGATGACAACGACAATAACAACAGTCTGTATTTACACAGCAAAGCCTCACCGAATGTCAAGACTGTTTCTCAGGAGGGTCCTGCTGCTACACTGGAAGATTTGGCCAATTTCGTGAACGACCGTTTTGTAACGTGGAAGGAGAAACCCCACACACGAGGGAATAACCCTCAGGTCAATTGGCGTCAAGAGTGGGCAGAGAGGAGTCGAGTGACATGGGATGGCAGAGGTAGGAGAGTGCATGGAGAGGAGTAGAGTGAGGTGAGAGGGGGAGAGTTAGGAGAGTGTGTGGTGGGGAGTAGAGTGATACGAGAGAGAAGAGATAGGCAGGAGTGAGTCCATGAAGGATCTTGAAGTACGATTTTGGAAATCGATTGCCGACTGCACTGGGAGCTGGTGGAGCGATCGGAGTGTTGCGGCGATGCAGTGGTCTCGTTTACGGGGTGCCGGTGAGGAGTCTGGCAGCCGGAATTCGGGGGACGGACGGGAGCCAGTTGTCAGGTCCAATGCGATGGAGGCACGGATCAGCAGCTGGGGGAGGGGGGTGGTTGGTGTTTGGCGCCGCACCTTGACGGAGTAGGCGAGCGCGATGGTGACGGCGAGGGGCAGCCCCTCGGGCATGGCGACCACCAGCACAGTGACGCCGATGATGAAGTACTTGACAAAGTACTGCATGTAGATGGTGGTGCACTGCGGCAGCCACGTGCGGCCCTGCACCCCGAACGTGTCAATCACGAAGTACAGCACCAGGATCACCATCGTCAGCAGCGACATCACCAGGCCTGCAGAGGCCGGGAGGTCGGCAGGGGGATGCAAGGGGGGGGGAGAGGTCAAGAGGATAGAGGTTTTAAAGCTCTCATTTCACTTCCTGTCATCTTACTCCAGGTGTGAGGATTAAAAAAGATGCCGGTATTGTTTTTGGAGTGGCCGGGTAGCTCAGAGGTCAGAACGCCGAGCCGACATCGCCGAGATCCTGGGTCCTGACACGGTGCCGATCGCACAATTGTGATAGAATTTTGGGGAAAAAAAGACCAAAAAAATAAATGCAAGCGACGCATTTGTGTTTTGTCATTTTTTCTAACGTGGCTTTTGCAGTGACACAGTGGTCAGGAAGATTAACCCCAACGATCGGCGTCGCGGCGCGCGAGCCTTGTGTCCGAGTTGGCCTCCCCCCCCTCGCCCACGACTTAACAACAAAAGCTTCTCCCCGTAAGCGATGCGATGGCACCATGGAGGCAGAAGAGGGGCGCCGGCAGTGGTAGCGTGGGGCGCGGGGGACGCACCGGCCTTGCCGATCTGAACGGCCAGCTTGGTGAGCTTCGCCTGCAGCGGGGACCTCTCCTTCTTCGCCTTCTTCCTTCGTTTCTTCTTTTTAGCCTTCTTCTTCTCCTCCCCCTCCATCTTGGTCCTCTCTCCGCCTAGCGGCGAGTCCACTCTGCCGGCACCGGTGGCGTCGGCGTCGGCGCCGTCTTCAGCGAGCGGCCACATCTCAATGTTCCGGGCTCCTGCGCAGACGAGCGCCAGCACAAGACACAGCGCGGACGTGAGCGCCGGCCCCAGCGTGGCGGTGGTCACGGTTGCCGTCGGGGGCAGTTGCCGGCGCCGCCGCCGCCGCCACCTTCCGGGTGCCAGGACATGCTCACCCTGGGGGGTGTCGTTGGCGACGGCTCCAGTCATCCCTGCGGGAAAGATCGAAGATCGAATGACACGACGACGACGGACTACGTGCTGTCGCTCGGCCCGAAACGATCACAGTTTCAGACGTGTAGAAATTCACCTCCCCCGATTCACGGTCGATTTTATTTGAAGGATTTGCTTTGACTTGTTTTTATGGTTTCATTTTGTTTCCCATCCCTCCCCACCCATCTCGTTTGTACAATTTTGTTCGCTCCATTAGCCTAACATTACAATGTTTTATAAAAATAGAAAAAAGTTACATCCCTTTGTCAATCCACTGCTAAATTAAGCCCCCCCCCCAAGCCACGTGGGGGTTGTTTAACCCTACTTCAGCATGCTGGTTGGGGAAGGAGAGGCCCAGGATTGGTTGAGAAATCACTCGCCATTGACGTTCACCGTTGCTAGGAATCGAACTCAGGCCTCCGATTACAGAGCGACTGCGCCACAGCTCCACCAAGCAAATCATCAATATACCAAATACACGTCATTGAGTGTAAAAAATTATCTGTAAATAGTCAAAACATAATGCCGATTTGAAAAAAACCAATAAGATAAGGATAAGGAAAAAAATTGGCAACAGATGTTTAATTTTTTCTTGCAAAGACCTCAATTTGATTAGGTAATCAAATGAAAACACAAAGACCCCAGCAAAATAATCACGCTTAATTTGTTAAATCCAAACACTTTGAGCCCTCTAAAGAAAATTACCATATGGATATAAGATTTATATTTGGGACCAAATGTCAGAGATTGGAGGTAATTTGATTCGAATTTAGTTTCTGAAGCAACTATTTAAAATGATCAGAGACACGGGGTAGATCTTCGGTGTACATACCGTCCATCTCTTGGGGGGCCTGTCCAGGGATGGGAGAAGTGGGGGGCGGAGATTTGGGGGGAGTGCGGGGGATCTTGGGAGTGGCTGCTTTTTTTCCTGAGCGAGCAGGAATTTTGGTAAAAACGGTTTGGGTCGTTTCAGAGTAATTACCACGGGCACCGCCGGAGGCGGGTTTTGTGGTTCGTTACACACGGGGTTCAACGTGACGGTGAGGCGCGGCAACGATGGGGCAAAAGGGAGAAAAGACAAGGAGGGTTATTAGAGTCGCGTCAGAGCTTTGGTGAAACTGGCAAAGGAAATCGTCACCGTCCAATATCCAAATTGGTTGTACAGGCCATGCAAAGAAGTACAGGAGACATTTTTTTTTACCAAAAATTATTCTTCATCCGAGTCCTAAAACGCATTTACTTGAAAAAAAGACAAACGAGGATGAGTAAATGTTTTTTTGATAGGGTAAAAAAAAAAAATTGTATCCTTTTCATGGATTTCGTTTACTGAAATTACAACAAAAATGTCGTCGCCATTGCTGGGTGAAGCTCCTCATGGCATGCAAGTTATGGGGATGTTTGACCATATTTGACCACACTGGTCAGTGTGGGTAGGTGAAGGGGGGGGGGGTGTGGCCAGGGGGGAAGGTTGTGTCCAAACAGAGTTCAGATATCAGTTGCCATCGATGTTTGTCGTGGCCTGGAACTAAACTCGGGTTTCCTGGCTCATAGTGCAGTAGTGCGTAAACCACTGTGCCACTGCTCCACCCATGCGACTTGACTAAACACAGCCTCCAATTCAAGAAACTCGTGTTTATACACCTATTGCTACTCCAATTAATCAGATGCAATTGTTTCCATCAACCTAATACAATAACTTTTCACCTTCGGCCATGAATGATACCGAAAAGGGCAGGCTGTCCAAGGTGGCGGTATGACAGAGTAGGGTCCAATCGAGATTTGAAGCTTTCGTGACTGCAAGAATCCACACTCTTTGGTTCTTTCGGTAAAGTCACGTAGGTGCAAAATAAATAAAATCACGACGTTTCGGGCGCAACACAAGTGCCCGTCATCAGGTGGAAGCAAACCACAGCAATAAATAACTGACGGGCACTTGTGTTGCGCCCAAAACGTCGTTATTTTATTTATTTTGCACCTATGTGACTTTACCGAAAGAACCAAAGAGTATAGAGCAGGGTCCTTTATTCCTGGTCTGATTCCACTGTGGGTACAGCCAATGGGGGCGGCAGTGGTTTGTGGTTCATTAAGACCCAGAGGGGGGTCAGAGCACCGATATGGCATCGCAAAGATCCTGGGTTTGAATCCAGGTTTCAGTCAGTTGCGATTAAACCCGGCTCTAAATTGTAATCCGCCGATGGTGTCGGCCACGTCACAAACGATCGCATATGAACAAACCATTGCATTATATTTTGTTCGGCACTTAACTTGCCTAAATTCCAACTGTGAATGCAAATTATTTTTATATTGGTTTGATTGTTATGCACCCTGCAATAACAGGATGGGAAAGTGCTGTGTGGACCAGAGCTCACTTGCAGCAGAATCTGAGGTAGCTCTGTGATAACCACTTCAGTGGGCTATTATTGGACATGGAGGGGGGTTGCTATACGATTGGACACGTTGCCTCTTGACGTGATATGGTAGCACAACCAAGATATAACCGGGGGATAAAAGACGAACACAAAATATGGATCCGTATAGAATTGGCTGATGTTTCAAGCAATAGCCCATCTTCAGGAACAGAGAATGAGGATTGTGTGACACTTAGTCTCCATATGGGACAACTTTTTACAATACATGTCAATTAACAACTGCATTTGCCAACTTTCAATTTCCCAGTTTTATAATTAACCTATCATTAAGCTTAGCGCGGTCGGCTACGTACGGTGCACAAGACAAACCGTGCTGCCATTGCACAGCGTCGGTTAAATGCACCGAACGACCTTTCCTTGAAGACGTGCGCTAAAATCCACTCGCACACAGACGGTGTGGCGAGCGAGCGAACGAGTGGAGGGAGCAGGCGAGCGTGGGTGCCGTACTTCGCTTGCGTTTCTTGTCGGGGCTTTCACCGGACGTCGCCCCCAGCAGTGTGAAGATAATGCCGCTCTGAGAGTTGATGCCCACGGCGGTCACCACCATACGGCCAGATCCCTCCATCACGTGCGTGCCTGGGCACAGCGCAGATGCGAGAAAAGACAAGAATAAGTATAACCCGTAAAAATAAAGTTTTTCACTATAAATCCTTTATATGCGTGGCGGCTCGAGTCCTCTCGTCCTCTGGCTTGAGATGGCTGCCACCTATGGGTCAGATGATTGCATTGCACCATTACGCAATTGGAAATTAAATATTATTTTTTTGTCCTAAAAAGTGTAAAAATTTTTTTTAAAAATTTCACGAACATTAATTGTCACGCACGAGTCTGTGTGGAAAATGTCAGCTCGATTGGATCACGGGAAGTGGGTTAAAAAACGACTGAAAGATTTGCACGGTCGTAAGCAAGCAAGCAAGCACGCAAGCACGCAAGCAAGCAAGCTTAATATAAAGGATTTAAAAAGGATTGCCTGGTGGCCCGCGAGCATAAATCAAACGCGAGTCACCGGGGGGTTTCTAGTGTCGTGTGCTACCACTCTCCCACATTACAAAGACAACGATCCCGTATAGCTTTAGCAGACCGTTGGGGCAAGTGCTCTAAGCGAGCACCAGTGAAGGCTGGAATGGCACACGAGGGGGTGGTGTGGCTGTGACACACACGAACCTCATAGTCTCCCCAGTGCCAATGTTTTTACAAAGCACCAGGTGTCCATTTTAGAGTGGAGTCGACCTACAGGAGGCCCAAGTCTGGTTCAAATATTTGCCACTGTTTTTGGTCACGAGTGGGAATTTAACTCGGGTAACAGAATTTGCAGGGCAAGTGCGTTAACTACTGCACGACCGCTCCCACACTAATGCAAACAGGCACAACAACAACCGCCATTCACCACCAAGTGGCGGTGACGCCCCCATGCAGCTTGTGCCAAGCTTGAAGGCTCGTTGGCAGAAGATCACGGGACAGACCCAGGTGTCATGCGTTGACCGACTGACGACTGGCCAATGTACTGCCTGTGCCCCCTACTATGCCAGCTTCCTGTGTTTTAGCCGCCCGGCACTGCGCTCGTTGTTGCGAGCATCGCTCCTCTGCCCTCCACTATTGTTAGAGGGCAACTGCCACCAATTGCCCAGCAGCGTCCTTCACGAGCCTTCTCTACAGAGTCCGATCTTGAAACCGCTGGTGTCAAGATCGGACTTGGTCATCAGCATGTCCACCAAGCGCCATATCCTCTTATGCCACATCACCTCCATCTCTTCTCTAGCCATTTAGCCAAACAAAAGCGGTTTGTGCATGCGGTGGCTGGACATGCGGGCTACATGACCCAGCCAATGCAGCCTTGCCTGTCGGAGGAGCTCACCGATGGGACTGAACATGCACATGTACATAGATGCGCACACACACAGACGCACGCACATCAACGAAAAACACCCCATGGAGAGCCACTCAGCACGACCGGTGCGAAATGGGGTGTGCGGCACACGTACCAGACAGGAGCATGGGGTCACAGTCGGGGCTCTTGCTCAAGTGGTCCGACTCCCCCGTGAGCGAGCTCTCGTCCACGGACAGCTCGTTCCCCTGCAGCAGCACACCGTCCGCCGGCAGCAGATCCCCTGTGGCACGATCAACCAAGGGGGCCATCGATTTAATTGGGCACAGGGGATGCACGCCCCAACCAATTGGGAGGCCGATCTGCGGTGTGGGAAGCAGACGACAGAGGGGGCAATCCATCCGATCGCCTCGTTAGGCTCTTACTTGGGCGTCCCTCCGACGATTTCGGACAATTTATCATTATATCGATCAATAACAGCATAATAATTAGATGGCAAAGCGTTTTAGCGTTTATGGAGCACTGTGGCTATTTAACATCCTAATTTTCGTGGCTTGTTTAATTACTCCTCGCGTAACCAGCCGCAGGTGCGCTGCGTTTACGCAGATTGTAATCCAGCCCGGTGGCTCCGCGTTCCGAGCGAGCGGCTCGCAATCGGAAGGTCGAGAGTTCAAATTCTCGTTGGGGGGTTGACTCGGGTTATCATCCCTCCGGGGCCGATAAAATCAGGACCACTTTGTGAGGACGTCAACAGCAGTCATGCTATAAGAAAGGGATATCGCCCCTGCCATAGAAATGTAGAATTTCCCCTTATGGCTCTGTAGGGCTGTCAATGGGGGGTGAACACCAATGCCTCAATACTCATTCGAGCAGAAAATCACTGACTTTGAGATATCGGTCGTCTGTGGTATAAATCAAAGTGGCGTTTTGCCTGGACAGAGTTTGTCCCGTAAATCAGGACTTCCTCGATGAGGCTTGTAAAATAGCGCGGTGTCGGGCGGGCGTACCTCGGACGTATTCATCCGTGCTGGGATGATGGTGATGGCGTATTCAGTTTCACGCACATGTCAAAATCACGGAATGCAACAAATAATTGATTCTTACTCGCACGATTACACACGTGTACTACGAGTGGATCAGAAAAAAAACACCACGTTCGCCAATAATTATGTTGCCTCAAAGGCAAGAATATGTTAAGAAAAAGGTGACATGTCGGGTAATGTACCTACAGTATTTCATAGCACAGGGACACAGTTGCCACTGCGGGAGCCCTTTCAAACAGAGGATGAGATGTGATGCAAAGTGCTCTGGAGACGCTTTGGGCGGAAAGGAGGGCGAGTCTCAAAAAACGCATCATCATCATGGCAATGATGATAATGATGAAAATAGCGACAATGATGCTGATGACGACGATGCTACCGATGACGACAATGGTGACGACATATGTCTGGCACCTACTGCACCCCTCCCCCCACCAGAGTGCGTGTGTGTGTGCGCGAGACGAGCAACCCTCACCGTACTTGACCTGCGCCACATCACCCACGACCAGCTCAGCGACGTGCACCTCCACGAGCTGCCCGCCGCGGATCACTGAGAACTTCTGCTCCTGCTCGATGCGACTCTGGAGGCCGCGGAACTGGCGCTCCTTGCTCCAGTCGTTGAACGCCGTGACGAGCACCACCACGACCACCGTGAGCAGGATGGCAGTGCCCTCGATCCAGCCCGTGTCTGAACCGGCCTCCTCGATGCTGCCCGAGGACTCGCCGCACACTGGCGGGTGTGGGTGGGCGTGGGCGGGTAGGGCATGGGGCAGATGGGGAACACGAGGTCAAGTGTCAGAGTCCAAAGAGGACGGCTTTGCAAGCTTAAGTCTCTATGACGGAGCATCGCAGGGCTCAGCAATTATCGGGTCGAAGTCACGTTGAACAAGACGGCTTTGCAAGCTTAAATTACCGAGTACGCATGGTCAAGTTAAGCCCTTTGAAAAGTACGAGCAACCTACATGAGACCAGGGGTCAGAGTCCCATTCAACAAAGGATAACCAAGTGAGCTTAAGCCTACAGGATCAGAGAGTCACAGTTGAAAAGAACATTGAGAGTTTAGAGGGTCAGAAAGTCACAACCGATATCGTTGGGTTGTGCAAGCTTAAGTCTCTACCCACGAGGTCAAGGGTCAGAGATTAGAGGATCGGAAAGTTCAGCCAGAACAAGATCACTGTGCACGTTTTATGCCCTACCTATATAACGAGGTCAAGGGTCGGAGATTAGAGTCGGAGAGTCGCCGTTCAACAAGGGGTGGGCGACCGCGCGAGCTTCATCCTCTACGCACGTGCGCGTGCTACTTAGCCAATCCCAGTGAACAAAAAACGCAACCCAATATTAAAATAAACAGCTTTTATCTCAAAATCACTCGAAATTTACGAGTGTTCTCTAAATAGACTCGCCCGGTCTCAGACAGCACAGCCAGGGACACGCCCAAGCCATGTCGTCCGACTCTCCCGTCTTGTGAGCGGTGTTGCCAACTCGGGGATTTACACCCCCCCCCCCCCCCCCCAACTAGATCCAGCGACTTTGAGTCTTCCCAACGACAGAATGTCACCGACACGACGAGTGACAAAAATCGGATCGCCTTTTACGACACGAAGCCGTTATGCAGATTTTAGCAGACGTTCCAGGTGTGTATTAAGGATCACGTATAGCTTTACTAAGCTCGAGTACTTGGCAAATTGGTCCCAAAATTCTATTCCGTTTTGAGACTGCTGGCGGCCAATCCGGGAGATGTTTGGTGGCCTCTCACGTTCCGTGTTCTCGCCCTCGGGTGGCCGGTAGAAGGAGAGGCCGAGGGAGACGACCGCAGCCACCTCCAGGATGATGAGCGTCACGTCCTGCAGCGCGTGCCACACCAGCGCCAGGAACGACTTGGGTTTCTTGGGTGGGATGTGGTTCCGTCCAAAAGTTGTCCGCCTCCGCTCCAGGTCCTCGGGATCCCCCGAAAGGCCTGTCGGTCATCATCATCGTCGTCATCGGCTGTAGCTCGTCGACGAGTTCAAAGTAATCATTCTGCACACTCACCGTTACCACTGCCTCTTAATACAAAACAAGTACACAACAGGCTGACGTATTCTAGATTGGAAAACTCATTTAATAAAAATTGCTTTTTGTGTTTAGTTTGTCGTCCGTTCCCACCACACCTCCAATTAGCATGGTTGGCTACGTATGGTGTGACATTATTTCAATGTACATACAAAGATTTCCCCCGTTTAGCCTGAACAGACTGTTGGGGCAAGTGCTATTAGAAAGCACCTATTAAGGCCGGAACGGCCAGCAACGCGCCCAGCCTCCTTTGTCTCTCCAGTGATGACGTTTGCACACCATGCCAGGTATTCATTTGAGGCAGAGTAGACCTTGGGAAGGCCCACGACCGGCACTGGTGCTGGGCGGGTTCGTAGTGCTGCTCGCCAAGCACTGCACTACCACTCCCCACACAAGTGTACATTGGGCAATGTCCCTCCTTCAGAAGCGAGAAGAGGGAGGGCAGATAGATGGGCCCGAGTTGTAGATGGAGATCACACTTCTTAAACCTGTGGGGCTCCAAGAAAACTGGGACGATTTTAAGCCGATCGATGCAGTCGCGATCGGCGTGTGGACGGTTTTCACCGCGAGTAGACCGAATGGGGAGCACACATTTCGCGCTCTCAATCCATGCCTTTGTGTTTTTTTTACCGAGCTCTCATCATACATACACAAAGAGAGAGAGAGATGGCAAGCCAGGGAGCCTAGCAATACAAACTCCGGAGAAAATCATAAACAGCAAGCCATCACAGCAGGGGTAGTTTTATAACGCACACATAGGGAGGCAGATTGCAATTTTGACACAATTGCCGACCCATAATATCTCCATAATTACAGATTTTTTTCGGTTAACAAGCGTAGATAAAAAGTAACATTCATGCAATCAACAAGAATAATAAAGTCAAACTGCCGACAGAACTTTTTAAAGTCGGTACAATCTGCGCGCATCTCGTGATAGTGGAAAACATATAAAGGTTTTTTTATGGCCCAGTTTATAAATCACTTTTTTTTGTTCCTTCTCATCTTCACGCGAGGCGCTATTTTCCAAGAAAACGTGACACTTTATGAAAAAGGTGCAAAATCCAAGGCCGAAGAGCGTATCTCACCTGGTGCTCACCACCTCCCTTGCTCACCAAGGTGAAGATTGAGGATTCAGAATGAGAATATTTATTGACACCGGAGTAATCCGATGAGCTATAAAGCTCTTTTTCACAGACGTCCATTCGGGGTAGGTCAGAACGTTACGACAACATCCCTTTGGGGTTGATAAAAGGAGCATCACGTTGTGGCGGTCTACGGATAGACTCGCCCCCGCATTGAGAATGTGGAATGTACAACCGCTGGCGCTGTAACCTGGAGGAGATGAGCGCCAGCATCGAGGCTCAATCGAGCGGGACGTCACTTTTAGGATTTGTAATCCACAAATTTCTGTTCACTAAACAATGCAAATGAAAATATATATTTTATTTTACCGAGCTATACATCTCAGTGGGCATTAGCTGGCCACAACTGATAGCTCAACATGGTGGCTTATCACGTGGAGATTCATATCAGCCGAATAACTCTAAATGCGTGTTTCTAATTATGGAGGGAGGACCTGGAGAAAAATCCACGCGACCACGCGGAGAACAAACTCCAAATATACAGCAGGTGTCAGGGTCGGGTTCGAAACCACGACCTCCGGTATACCAGGCGAGGTAATTAACATCTCGCCACCGTGGTACCCTTAGAATTATAATCAATTAGAATAGAGAGTTCGGAGACTGTGCTAGGAGTGATGTGCGAGCATAAGTTGAGTAAATCGCCAAACTGCCAGCCAACAATAAAAAGTTCGTGAAGCATTGAAGAAAAGAATCATGATGAAAGAGGAACGACTGATCATACGGATAGTAAACGTGGATTTGTTATGGAAAAATATTAAATCAAAAGCTGAAAACTGCACTAAGCAGCGTGGAGAGACGGTGAGTGCTTGAAATTACCCCGAGAGATAGGGGGTGGATTAGAGAACCATTGTACACAAGTGCCCTTGGGGCAGGAAACGGTCACTAGAATAGAGGATGGATATTCTTAGAGGCGATTCCACAACAATTAAATTCTGTACGACCACATTACTATGTGGTTGTCGGAGTAACAACCCTCTAGGATAGACATCTTCAGATGGGAAGCACCACCAGCAGTGTTAATCACAAACATTAAAAAAACGTACAAAATACTTTTCCCTTTTCTAAATTTTTGTTATTCTGATTTTGCAAGTGGTGTCATGTCACGGGACGAAGCATCCATTCCGATCCTTTGCAGGGCAGTGTTGAAACGGCCCACGGAAGCGGATACTGTAGAGCGACCTCGGGTCCTCACAGTCTGGGGGCAGTACGTCCCCACTCACCCTGCTACAGCCAAGGTGTGTAAAACAATCAGATCTTTTTCCTTCTCACTTACCCGGTATTTAGCCAAATTAAGTTACAGAATGTCCATACACTTTTCTATGCAATCATTGGTGATCGGGCTGGGAACATCAAATCACTGCACCTGCAAAGCCTGGTGTGTAAAAAAAATAAATGATTGGCCGAAAACCCGGATTGGAATGCAAGATCTCAGCGGTGCCAGGCTTGACACTCCGACCTCCGAGCCATCGGGGCCCTCCTCGCTATCGACGGCATCAATGAAACATGCATTCCGATTACAATTTTTTTGTTTGTTCAAATAAACATAACGGCTGGGTGGGTCCACACACCGGATAACGTACCCCGACCACCGCAGCCTTGAGCAGTCTACCCCTAGCCACCGAGATAACGGTAAATTTATATTGGCCCCCATTTGGCAGTCTGGAAAACACAACGTGCCAATGAGAAAAATCGCGAAAGGGCAATAAATGGCGACCGAGGGACCAGTCAACACGGTGGTGATTGCGCGCGCTCGCAAACCAGCGCCGTAGGGGCAAGGGCTGGTGGATCGCACGAATGTTGCCAACTCCCTCCATGTGGCCGTCGAGGTGCCGTACTCTGGCTCGCCAGGAGAAGGGCGACACGGCAAATGTGAATTAATATCGTTTGTCCTATCTGTGAAGAGACCGAGAGCTGCCCCCTCACACAGATGGGGTTTTCCAGGGATCATCTTTACAAGCGCCTACACGGGGGATCTTTGTCTTTTGAATACGGAGCGATAGCATGTGTGCGTGCGTGAAACTCGGTGTGTGGTGGCAAGTGGAAAGTGGTGGTGTGCATGTGTTGATGTGTGTAGCAACACGTGCACGCGTGTGTGTGTGGTGGTGGTGAGCGGTAGTTAGCACACTGCGCAACGAACCCGCCGACCAGAGTTCGATTCCCGCTCACGGCCAACACCGGTGACAATTATCCGAATCGGTCCTGCGCCTGCCCTAGGACGACCAGCTGCCTCAAATGATTACCTGGTACAATGTGTAAACATCGCCACTCAAGTTCAAGTTCATTTATTAGGTATAGCCCTGTGAGCCATTCGGCTCTTGAATCGGGTGCAACCGCAACAAACAAAAAACAAAAACATGAACAAGAAAACATCTTAAAGTGACTATGTGCAAACAGAAAATCCAAGAAAAGACAAACTCGGGAGACAAAGGCGGTCGGGCGTGGTTCTGGGCACCCACCCCCATGCGTACCGTGCCAGCTCTGTCATAAATGCTACCTTACGAACAGCACTTGCCCCCCAACAGTCTGTTAAAGGCTTCACGGGTGATCTCCGTCTTTCGTGGTGGCGAGTGTACCGCGGTGAGCATGTGGCGGAATCATTCGCGACCCCCCCCTCGTCCGCGTCAACCTCACCGTCCGTGGGCGACGTCCGCAGCCGTCGGCACAGCTCCGTCGCTCCCTGCACCGCTGTGTCGTCGTCGCCGCCACCGCCCGCCTCGTGCCGCCCGTATTCCTTCACGATGCGCCCCACCGCGTCCCCACCGCGGAGCTCCATGAGAGTGCGCAGCTCCGCCAGGGAGCAGCCGAACCCATCCTGAGGGTCACTCATTATCGATCCTACAATTGTCCAAGTAGAGTTAATTACACTCGAGGGGGGTGGGGTAGGGTGGGGGGGGCTCTCCAGAACTCCCTCTGGTGGAGGCCGTTCCGCCTGCAGTGGCACAAGCGAGGAATTGCAGGCCTGCACCTTGATCGTATTTATAAAGTATCGCTATACTGGAGCGCCTTTGATCATAAATAATGTGACCACTGGGCTATGTGAATCAATGTTGAGTTTAGGCGAGCTCTGGTGTAGCGTACGATTGTATAGTGTTGTGTGCCTGTGTGTTAATAGGGCACCCTGAAGTGTTATGGGGTTTGGGTTGTGTTCGGTGGGAGTGCGATCATCTGTCTGGTGTCAGAGAAAAGCCCAGAGTCAACTCCGTGTGACCTGCAGTCAATTTCTCAACTCCCAGTTGAGCCAGGCTGGGCGACGGGAAAGATCTGTGGACACAAAAGGAGAGAGACACAGGCAAACAAAGACCCCCCATGTAACCTTCACAGATTGTAAGAGCAAGCGTTGCGAGTGAGCATCTATGAAGGCTAGCACATCATACAAAGGGTGTGGGTGGCCAGCACTACGCCCGGCTGCATTTGTCTCCCGAGGTGACAATATTTGCACACTGCACCAGGTACTCATTTGAGGCCAAGTCGACCTAGGTTGGGGTGGCTCAGATAATCGTCACTGGTGTTGACCGCGAGTGGGAATCGAACTCGAGTTGCTGGGTTTGTAGCGCCGCGCAGTAACCACACTCCCCTAACGCTCCCTCAACAACAACAGCCATTCGCCACCGAGTGTCGGTGACGTCACCAGGGCGCTTGTGCCAGGCGACGTGCACTTTCAAGCCACGTGGAGTGTCGAAGGCCCACTGGTAGGAGGTCATGGTACAGACCCAGGTGCCATGGGTTTGGCCGACTGGAATGGCTGGCAGGATGCACCAGCTGTGCCAACTTGCTGTGTTTTAGCCGCCCGGCGCTCAGCTCCCCTTTGCGCACACAGGCACACGTATGTATGTACATAGAGCCCTTTTGTCAATGAAACGCTGGACAAGTGTGTCTCTGCACCGTAATGGTTATTTGACCCGACTTCACCATGCTGGGTCAGTGCGAATTGGTGTAGGTTGGGGGGGTGGGGGAGGAATGCCCAGGTCCAGTTCTGATATTTTTGATATCCAAGTTGGCAATGGCCAGGAATGGCAAGGCAGCATATAAAGTACAACAATTGATTTTGTAGCACTGCCCACACAGCCACCTATAACTCTTATATAAAAATATATATTTATTTTACCAGGTAAAGCCCACCGAGCGATACAGCTCTTTTTCAGAAGCGACCTGGCCACAAATGATTGCTCAACTCAGTGGCTTATCACGTGGAAATGTATAGCAGCCAAATACTTTAAACACACGTTTATTCTAAATGTGGGAGGGAAAATCTGGAGAACCTGGAAAAAAAATCAATGCAATAACGGGGAGAACATGCAGACTCCAAATATACAGGAGTCAGGGTCAGGATCGAACTGACGACTTCTTGTTTTCCAGGCGAGGCATTAAACATCCTGCCATCGTGGCGCCTACAGTGGCGAAATGCACTATGCTTAGCCTCAATTTACAATTAACCAAGTACAATTAACCAAGTAGCAATTGGAACAAAAACCGATGCGTGTGCAAAGCAGCAGAGAGATGCACAACGTACATACAAACTTTTTCGGGCGACAAAGTCATCATTTGTTATCAACAACCAAGAGCAATCCACTGCCCGGATGAAAGCTTCCACAATGTCACCATCCTCGAGTCCCGCAATGCAGCAACGATCCACCCGGCGCCTGCACCCGAGCCGATCTCATCGTTCCATTTGCACCCTTGGCGCTTAACCCCCCTCCGTTTGGCCACCACTCCGTGGCTCCGTTTCTGACAATTGGCAGTCCCCCTCTTTATCTCATTGTTTTGGACTCCATTCATCCTTCAATAACCGCTCGAGGTGCAAACATCCTCCTGCGTTTTTTCCCAGTTGCGTCCATGCGACAGGCATTTTCCAGACCGAGTTTGCGTTTGCTGGACCCAAAATGCACAAATCCCCTGCCGACCCCGACACATAGCCAAGGCAAGTGCTGTCAGCAAGCGCCTAATCATGCTGGCATGGCACACGAGGAGAGGTGGCGTGGCCAATAACCACGTCTTGCCATCTTCGTCTCCCAAGTGCTGACGGTCACACGCGATACCAAGTGCTCAATGAAGGCAGAGTCAACTGAAAGGAGACTTAAAGCAGGTTCCAAAACTATTTTACACACAGATATAACATAACACACGCAGGTACACACTAAAGGAGAAAGATTCCCCCGTATAGCCTTAACAAACTGTTGTGGTAAATGCTGTTAGTGAGCACCTATGAAGGTCAGCATGGCAAACAAGGGGGTAGATGGCCAGCAACACGGCCGGCTGCCTTGGTCTCCCTAGTGGCAACATTTGCACTCTGCCAGGTACTCATTTGAGGCCGAGTCAACCCACAGGAAGACCCAGGACTGGTTCAGATATCACTTAGCATTGATGTTAGCCATGGCCAGCGATTGAACTCACATGGTCAGCAACATAGCCCAACGGACGCACACACCCAGACTCGCCGTGTCTTATACCTTCAAAATGAAAGAGGCACTGGGATCAGATCGAACAGGGCCGACCTCTCGACTGCAAGTCGAGTAGAACATCCGTTACACCATGGCAGCATCCCCTTCACGCCGAAATGGTTTAGTTCATTCGTCAACAATCCGAAACCCCGATCAGCAGAGCGGTCCATGTGGCGGATCACCCTTCAAGCAGCTCGGCCGCCCCTCAAGCACAGTGACCGCAAACTCACCGTGCTCACCTCCGCCGCTCGCCAGTGGTGGAGAAAACACGAACTGGCCTCAGACTCATTCATTGATCGATGTTCCCCGGTGGCTCGAGGCCAATGGGAACGCTGGCGAGAGAGACAAGACGCTCGGCTCTACGATGAAGGCCAAGAGCCCGATCTGAGCTTCGGTGCCTTGTCGATGACAGCACGTGGAGAGGTTAGTCGTATTGTTTTTTAGTAGTTGACGAAAGCGGTCAAGCATTAAGTCTACTCCGTTATTGAATGTTGGTGCAAGGTGGGTGGGGGGAGGTGGGGGGATTCATCCCCCACCTTTGCCCCCCCCCCCCCCCACGTCCAATGTTATCAGGTCGGTCAAGTAAGTGAACTCAGCCGGACGATCTCAGTCCGAGTCTTCACTCAGAATCGTTAGTTTCATCTCGTCAAGCTCATTCGTGCTCCGATCTCCGGTTTAGGATTCTACGATCACAGTCGGCCGTGATTTGCTCTGGGGCTTCGCAAGTAGTCGTAGTCACCGTCACATTTGACGTGTCTCATCCACTCATCAGCATCGCTGGTGAACATGAAATCAAAACACAAAAAACACGCGTCGCGAGGACATTTTCGTCGCCCGATTCTCGAACTATATTACCAGTCGCACCGACGCCGAGCAGAAGCCAGCTCTGCTCTCCGTGCTCTGCCAGTCCCGTCACCTCCACCGTGTTAGCCGCTGCCCGATTTGCACCTTGCCAACATCCAAGCCGGTATGAATCAAAACAAAGCCAGGCGGGGCTCCGTCTATTTAAGTCACACGAGCGATCTGCTGAGCAGGCAACGACCACGATGAACCGATGAACCCGTGCACCCCCCCCCCCCACTTTTATTTCCACCACATTCTCTCACCCCATGAGCAGCCCGTGTTCTAACCACAATCCCTCCCCCCTGCTTACCCTGGTTCATCGTAAACTTTCATCCCTGGCCAGATCAATGAGTAACAGACACCGGCCTGCAAAGCTGCAAGAGACCCCATGTCTCCGTGTGCCAGGTCTCCTTCTCTACAAAAAGGCATCTCGGTACAAAATTAACTCGAACTGAAGAGCACACATTCGCGCACGTGTCTCTCAACCCAGCCTCCCGTAGGCATTACGTCTAGTAACACCTGCCACGGTGGAATGGTCAGTCGGCGCTCTGGAGTTGGGGAGCCAAGAGCATCGCCACTTCAAATCGATCCACCGGTGAATAAAAGGGGACAGAATTCTAGATTTGAAGCTTTCGTGACTGCAATGATTCATATTCTTAGGTTTTTTCACCTACGTGACTTTACCGAAAAAACCTAAGAAAAGGGGACAGGTTTCTGAAATCCTCTCCACCTCCTCCACCGTCAACTCAGCAGTATAAACGGTATGCCACAGTTAGTTGATGGGGAAATAAGGGGATAATTAAAGGCGATTGCTGTCATGCAACTCAAGCATTAAACCCCTTGTAGTTTGCGCGCCTTCAATGGAGGAACATTAAACCCACGAGAACTTTCTCTGCTGTAGCCCTCTCGTCGTGGTTTTGTGTTCAGTTGTTATTTCCCCGCTCCTCTGATTAGCACGGTTGGCTACGTACGGTGCGAAAAGGGTTTAACAAATATACATAGCAGACCTCCACATTGCCATCATACAGAAGAAGAGAATTAAGAATATAAGCAAGTCAATATATTCCAACATCAAAAAAGCAGAAGGGAAAAAATAATTTCAGAGGAAGATTTCAGCACCAATTATCAAGAGGACATTGGATGATGTTACATAAGCAAGGTCAATGGAAACTAAGCTTAAGTAATTGTGCATAGTGATTGTGCCCCTCCGACAAAAGTTTTTTTCCCATTCGAAAGTTTTTTTCCCCATTCGTTCAACCAACTCGCATACGACTTGTTTTGGTCGTTTTTATCTGTTAGCCTCACGAGGCAGCCTTCTCGATCAAGTGCTGCAATCGTTTCCCATAGTTCATTACAAATTGCTCATTATAATGGCTGCCATCAGCGAATCTGAGAGGACTACTCATGCTAGTGACGTTTATCTGTGTGCCCTTATTTCTGAAATATAATTGTAAGAAATTATATTCGAGTCTCTCTGTGGTATAGGTTTGGCGAGACTCGATCTCCTTGCCTGGCTCCTCTTCAGATTTCTACTTTTACTTTATTGCATCTCAGGGAAACTGTTACATGTTTTATAAATGTGTGTTTTTTTATATCATTTATATGTTTCTAGACATTTTTGGTGAGGCAAGTCATTGAAGGTGGACAAAGGTCAAAACTAAAATGTGGGGAGAAATTCCTCAAGCAGTGGATAAACTATTGTTGAGTGTCGTGGCTTTAATCAATTGAGATTATTTACACTATTAGTTCTTTTTTCTACCAGGTAAGGCCCACTGAGCTATGTAGCTCTTTTTCAGACGCGACCCAACCGTAAATGATAGTTCAATGGAGTGGCTTATCATGTGGAAGTTTATAGCAGCCAAATACCCTAAATGTATGTTTCTAAAATGTGGAGGGGAAAACCGGAGGACCCGGAGAAAAATTCACGCAATCACGGGGAAAACGTGTAAACTCCAAATATACAGCAGGCGCCAGGGTCGGGATCGAATCCACAACCTCCTGTATACCAGGCGAGGTAGTTAACATCTCGCCACCGTGGCGCCCCTACACTCAGCTGCAGCAATCATCGTCCTCTCCCTGGCAGACCACCCCCAAGGTCGCTCTTGCAAATGAGATTCGATCCTGGTCTCTTGTGTTCTCACCTGGTTTCACAACATCAACCCGACAATATCCGAAGGAGAAGTTTAATTACATTACCGTATAAATACATCTGTTCAGGTGAAACTAAACCGGGGTTATTGGAAATATACCACAGGTAAGCGGTTGCAAAAAGTGGAAATCGTAATTTAATATAGCTCAGGTAAAAGCACAAGGTTAATGATTACAATGAAAATATTGATATAGATTATTGAATCCAGATTGGGGGGGGGGGGGGGACAATATCACAAAAACACCACAAGTGGCGTGCACTCATCCGGCAGTGGATAGATCATGGCTCGTGCTGCTGATGATGATGGGCATAGACATGTGGGCTGATGTGGCTGCATCTCAAGCCGCTCAATCTCCATTTCACGACTCCACCCATGCCACGGGTAGTCTATTGTCAGATCTGAGGTTTTGCCTTCAGGTCTAGAGACCAAGGTTTGGGGCACGTTTTATATGGCGAGATGTTAACTCCCTTCGCCTGGTATATAGGAGGTCGTTAGTTAAAATCTACACGTTCCTATTGCTGTCTCTGAATGCAACTCCAAGCAATCATCTCTCTGTGCTTTTCAGTTTGTGTGTGTTGAAAGCAAAGGTGGAAATATGTTAACTCCCTCGCCTGGTATACAGGAAGTCGTGTGTTCGATCCCGACTCCGACGCCTGTATATTTGGAGTCTGCATGCTCTTTCCCTATGCGCGTGGATTTTTATCCAGGTCCTCAGGTTTTTTACCCCCTCCACATTTATAAACATGCGTTTAGACTATGTGGCTGCTATACATTTCCACGTAAACCACGAAGTTGAGATACCATTTACGGCCATGTCGCTTTTGAAAAAAAAAAGAGCCATTTCGCTCAGTGGGGACTTACCCGGTAAAAATATTGTTTGGGTTTAGTGAGAATTACCCAAAATGCTCTAAACTGCAGCGTAAAGTTGCGTTGCTATAAGGAATTGGTCCGAACAAAACACCGGCCACATTGATTAAAGTCTTGCGCGAAACTTTGGAGACTAAACCAGAACAAAGAGCACTTCAGCACAATACTATATTTGCAAATATGCAATCGCGATTTGCCCGGACAGTTACCCGAAGGCTTCCGTTCTACTAATGAAAGTACTTCCGAATAAAATACCGCATGCTGTGTTTATTTACGGTGTCACATAATCCAGCGCGTATGCGCGATTAGTCGGGTTTAGACCATGACGGCTATTCAATACGAGCGGCTTCGCACAAACACTAAACGACAACAACAATGTGATACGAACCTATACTCTTTGTTTTTTTCGGTGAAGTCACGTAAGTGAAAAAAATAAATTAAATCACGACGTTCTGATTGCAACACAAGCAATCATCATCAGGTGTGACAACCACAGCAATACAATTTTACTGAAGTGAGAGAGATGCCGCAGTTAAGGAGTTTATATAAACTTCAAATCTAGAATGATACGAACCTGCCAGCTCACTACAACAATAATCTCACACTTACAGAGGTGAATGTCTGTAGTTTACCGGTACACAAGTGAGATGATAGGAGGTGAATGTCTGTAGTTTACCGGTACACAAGTGAGATGATAGGAGGTGAATGTCTGTAGTTTACCGGTACACAAGTGAGATGATAGGAGGTGAATGTCTGTAGTTTACCGGTACACAAGTGAGATGATAGGAGGTGAATGTCTGTAGTTTACCGGTACACAAGTGAGATGATAGGAGGTGAATGTCTGTAGTTTACCGGTACACAAGTGAGATGATAGGAGGTGAATGTCTGTAGTTTACCGGTACACAAGTGAGATGATAGGAGGTGAATGTCTGTAGTTTACCGGTACACAAGTGAGATGATAGGAGGTGAATGTCTGTAGTTTACCGGTACACAAGTGAGATGATAGGAGGTGAATGTCTGTAGTTTACCGGTACACAAGTGAGATGATAGGAGGTGAATGTCTGTAGTTTACCGGTACACAAGTGAGATGATAGGAGGTGAATGTCTGTAGTTTACCGGTACACAAGTGAGATGATAGGAGGTGAATGTCTGTAGTTTACCGGTACACAAGTGAGATGATAGGAGGTGAATGTCTGTAGTTTACCGGTACACAAGTGAGATGATAGGAGGTGAATGTCTGTAGTTTACCGGTACACAAGTGAGATGATAGGAGGTGAATGTCTGTAGTTTACCGGTACACAAGTGAGATGATAGGAGGTGAATGTCTGTAGTTTACCGGTACACAAGTGAGATGTTTTGGTTTACGACCTGAGAGATGGCGATGGCTTTGGGAAGAAAGCCTTTCGGCATTGTGGATAAATCACGGATGAAAAACGCATGGCTTTCGTTATGTACAATCTGTACCGCGTACATCATTATCTGTGTACAGGTGATGAGCGTGTGTGCGCGCGCGAGTTTACCAGTGTTCAGGAGAAACGACTCCGCCCGTGTTGTCTCGGTCGCCAACTCTCAAGGTCTCTCTAAGCAGCAGCAGCAGCAACAACAAACAACCAACAGCTTTCTCTGCCATCAGCGTGAGAGGTGAGCTCCAGCAGAAACCAGACGATGCTTGCCGAGCAAGTGTGCAACAGAGGTGAACCGCCACGCAGCGCAGAGGCACAGGTGTGCCCATTTATCGGGATGTGCGAGCGCGTATCTCTCTCTCTCCTTTATCTTCGTATTTTGGACCCCCCTCCCCCCCATCATCACCCGGCATTGCCCCTCCACGTGGTCAGAGGAGCTCGCTCATTGGTGAGCGCACGCGTCCTGTGGGGTGGCAACTCTCGCGCACGACGCCACGGAGATGTCAATGACATCACTTGCTTGGGGATGGAGTGGGTGGGTCGAGCGGGTGGGGGTGGCGGTGAGTTGAGGCCCTTTCCGCCAGCAGTGGCGTGAGCCGGCTGTTGCAGGGCTGCGCCTTTAAGCTGTGATTCTGTATACAATACGGGGACTCCTCTACTTACGACCACTCGACTTACAAACTTTCAGAGATACGAACAAACCTGGTCCGTATGTACAGTTGCTTGTTCGGGCCGAGAGTCGTAAGTTTAACCACCGCACAGTAGATGGCGGTGGTGGCATTTACATCTGTAGAACGTGAAGAACCGGTGGCATCTACATCTGCAGAACATGAAGAACCTATGGCATCTACATCTGTAGAACGTGAACAACCGGTGGCATCTACATCTGCAGAACGTGAAGAACCTATGGCATCTACATCTGCAGAACATGAACAACCGGTGGCATCTACATCTGCAGAACGTGAAGAACCGGTGGCATCTACATCTGCAGAACATGAACAACCGGTGGCATCTACATCTGCAGAACATGAAGAACCTATGGCATCTACATCTGCAGAACATGAACAACCGGTGGCATCTACATCTGCAGAACATGAAGAACCAGTGGCATCTACATCTGCAGAACATGAAGAACCAGTGGCATCTACATCTACAGGAGATTGTACAACTATTAAAACCATTACCCGTGTTTAGTGTACACGCCGTACAACATGTTTGAATCGACAGGAGTAAAGTTGGACTTACGAACAAATCGACTTCCGAACACACCTCTGGAACCCAACTCGTTCGTAAGTAGAGGAGTCCCCGTATACAAACTGCAGTTCTGCCGTAGTTTGGAAGGGTGCAGAGCGGCCACTAGTTACATTCAGGAAATACCGTGTTCGGTTGACAGCCGTCTGTCAATCCACCGCTAGATGACAGCTTCCCCAAGGCTGCGGGGTTTACGGTGGCTATTATTTCACCATACTTCACCGCGCTGGATACTGCTGGCTCGATGAAGGCGGGAGCCAGTAGCGAGTACAGTACAACAATGGGAAGTTAGGGGCCGTCCATAAATGACGTCACGCGATTTTGGCCGATTTTTGACCCCCCTCCCCCCCTCGTCACACATCGTCACAAATGTCTGACCCCCCTCCCCCCCTAGGTGAGTGACGTCATTTATGGACGGCCCCTTACCGCGCTGCCCCTATTTTATTCTATTTACAACGTAGCCCCGGCAGAAGTTAGAGAACGACGCTTCAGGTGGAGAGGTAACCTCGTGTGTGTGTGGGGGGGGGAGCGGTGCCGCAGTGGTTAGCGCATTGCACCTACGACCTATAACAGTGGCAATATATATATGAACCAAGTATCAGAGCTCTCCTAGGTCGACTCAGCCTTAAATGGGTACCCAGTGCGGTGTGTAAATGTCAGAATTGGAATTACAAAGGCGGCCGGGCGTGGTGTTGGCCACAACGACCCCCTCGTGTGCGGTCTCGACCTTCATAGTGCGCTCGCTAACAGCACTTGCCCCAACAGTCTGTTGAAGGCTATACGGGGGATCTTTGTGTTGTCCCTCGTGACGTAGGGAGAACCCCTGATTGCATTGCACGACCGAGGTATTGTTCGTGTACGTGTCCCACTTATTCAAATTGCCATACACATCTTTCGTGTGCATATACAAACATACACACAGGGTGCTTAAAATTTTTTTAACACTTCTGAGAATTTGCAACGATACAACAAGAAATGTGCCTCCGAGCTCTGGAGACCACATGGAGAAGATTCCTGACATGTGTTGACAATGATGGCGAACAAGTGGGAGACTCTTTGATTTTTTAAAGCTATTAACATTACATTTGTTTTCAAGTTACAGTGTATTATCCATTCTTTTCCCATTATAAACGATAGTCCCATATAAGTTTTAACATTTTTTTACGAAGCACCCTCTATATACCCGGCGAACCGAGTTCGATTCCCGCTCATGGCTAACACCAGTGCCAATTATCTGAGTCGGTTCTGGGCCTCATCTAGGTCGACTCAGCATCAAATAATGTAAATACCGCCACTGGGAAGATACGGTCGGGCGTGGTGCTGGCTCGACCTTCATAAGTGCTCGCTAACAGTCCTTGCCCCAACAATCTGTCACGGCTATACGGGGAATCTTTGTCTTTGTGTTTCCCGGGTAACATTATTTCACCCGTTCGCAATCATCAGACGGGCGCGTGCAGCGCGGAACGATTTCATTTGAATGAATTCTCATCAGTCTCCATGGTGTAAAGATATTTGTATCCACTCTACCTCGCTGGCTTCTCCACTTGAGCGGGGCCATTGCCCGAAACGTTTATCATCAAATGTTTTTTTACATTTAAGGCCACACTTTTATTGACGAAAGTGTTGACGTCTTGTTGTTGTTGTTGTTGTTATAATTATCTGTGCTTGTGCACCGCTGCCAGTGCAGCTGAATCATCAAAGCATTTGTTCAACTTTAATGAAGAGTGGTGAATATAAAAAAAACGTCGCGATGTTTTGGGGCTGTGAGTAGGCCTCGGCAAGGTAAAGTCAATTACCTTTATTAAAGGGTAAAGGTTTCGACATGCCAAGGGGTAAGGTAAATGGTAGGGTAAAGGTAGCTCAGAAGAATTACCCGGTAGGGTAAAGGTAGCGCGAATAATTACCCGGTAACTACAGTACCTTGCTTACCGCTAAAAGCTCCGTGGCGCAGTCCGTTGCCTCTATTTTAAATTGCGATGATTGATGTCGGACCAGATGGAGAGGGTCCACGTTCTTGAGGAAGAGGCACGAGAGGACGAGGTCGAGGATGCCAGCAACGGCTTTTTTGGGGTTGCTGCGAACAGCAATCGAAAGAGGCAGCGGCATGCGTTCCCGTGGGAGCACACACAAGTGGTTTTCCACCCACACGAACGCGTCGGGGTGGAGAGCCCACCTCAATAAGCACAACGCACTCGCCCCAGGCAGCGAGGTTGGAACGTGGGCGTCGGCTGCCTGAAGGTTCCGTCTAACTGGGCCGGAGCGGCGCAGGATCTTATTGCCTGTCGTTCGTCCGAGGACGATGGCAATGACGAACTTGATCAGGTTGTTGATGAGATCGCCATCGACCAAGATGACTGGGACGTGGAGGTTATGGAGGATGGTGTCGTCGACAGCCTCAACGCCCGATTCGAGAGTATTTTATATGAATAAAGCGCTCTACCTAGCATGTATCGTTATAAACCTTTTTCATGTGTTGTATCCCAGTAATTTCCCTGTAATCGGGTAATTTGTATGAGATAAGGGTCGTTGATTTTTACATTTTACCTTACCTGCTAAAGGGTAAAAGGTATGGTAGAGCGATTGTATTGTGGTAAGGTAAAAGGTAGGGTAAAAGTAGTCTTGTTTTTTTTAATCCTTTATATTAAGTTCGCTTGCTTGCTTGCGTGCTTGCTTGCTTGCTTACGACCGTGCAACTCTTTCGGTCGTTTTTTAACCCACTTCCCGTGATCCAATCGAGCTGACATTTGCACAAAGACTCGTTGTGCGAGACAATTAATGTTCGTGAAAATAAATTTCCAAAATTTTACACTGTTTAGGGAAAACATTAAATATTTAATTACCAATTGCTTAATACTGGCAGACAATCATCTGACCCATAGGTGGCAGCCATCTCAAGCCAGAGGACGAGAGGACTCTAGCCGCCACGCATATAAAGGATTTATAGTGAAAAACTTTGTTTTTACGGGTTATGCTTGTTTACCGTTTAACTTTTATCTTACCTTGCCGAGGGCTAGCTGTGAGTCTGCAGGATGAGAAACTATCCAGTCATATACAGGACCTACAGCGTCCCCTACTGTGCAGTCAAGTAACATCGTAGTCTTTTGTGAATAATAATACCATGGGCGATGTTTCGGGCAATGACCCTTTATGTGATATGTTTTTATTTCATGGCAGTGTTACAGAAGAACATGCCAACGCGACATCCGATTAGCAAGGTTGGCTACGTGTGATGTGAATGAAGTTCAACATACATACATCACAGGAGTGATTCGCCTAGTGGAGTGGTTATTAACCTTCAATGCAACCTTGTGCCCCTTTGGTTCTCAATCGTGAAACATTATATAATGTTAATAAACCAAGGCCGTAATTATAATATTATAATGTTTAAATATGCTCAAAATGTCCCCCCCAATATATTGCTATAAAAATAAGTAATTGCTATGTTATGTAAATTAAGCAACAATTTGCTAAACCTTGGCCACAATATCTGGACTTGTCTTCATATAAATCAATGCATAGATTTCTGTTCATATGATTGTGGTTATGGTTGTACTTTATTGATCCCTAATTTCTGCCATTACATACAATGAAACAAGAAATGGTAAAAAAAGTAAAAACAGAGCAATGTAATACAATACACTATTATCCCATGTGTTAGTGAATTTTTTTTTTAATTTTAGGCAGGAAATGAGTTTTCAAATTTAGATATTTTTCTGGGTTGGGACCCCCAGACACCCGAGGAGATTTGGTCCTCCCCAATGTTGGCTACGGCCTTGTAATAAACACGTAGGTTTAATGAAACAAAGTAGTTGTGCTTACGTGCCCATGTTTAGTTTGTTTCGATTAATCACATTATAAAAAAAATCTGGCCATGTCTCGCACCCCCAGAAAGGGCATCTCGCACCCCCAGGGAGTGGGTGCACCCCAGGTTAAGAACCACTTATCTAGTGCGTAGGTTTGGCTCGGATCTCGCCTCATTATGCAATATCAGAGCAAGATCTAAAGCTATTCTTTGGTTCTTTCGGTAAAGTCACGTAGATAGAAAAATAAATAAAGTGAATACAAATAATAACAATAA